CCAACCATCCAATCAGCACCCAGATTCATTACTGCATACCTCGGCAGTACCTAAAAAAGGCCATAAAAACTAGAATGAAAGTACATTACATGACAACCTGATTATGCATAATGGTATCATTCCGTCGTAAGTCAGGACGCCAAAGTTCCCCCCCATAAGACGCCTATCCATGAAAAAAAAAAGCAAAAAAAAAAAGATGATGAAAGAGATGGTTGGCTAACCACTTGCTTCGCCACACCAAGGTCATGAACTCAATTGTCTCATTGTAGCCGCTTAGTCCACACTGGGCGGGAGATTCTTGAGGTACTCCCAACCAAACTCCTCCTCCGGTTTCTCCGGCTCCATACCGAGGGCGCTACGGTAAGCACGAACTTCGTTCTGGAGTCCAGAGATAATGCGAGTCGGGAGGTCGTCCTCCTCGCAACGCAGGCGGTAGGCGGTGCGAATCATTTCAGCACACTTCATCGTCTGGGCATGCCAGTAATCACGGTCAAGACGGCTCGCCAGGTGGGCGTCACGCTCCGCCTGGAGAAGATTATTGTAGTGGCGCTTCTGCGCAAGGAACTGCATGTTGTTGTTCTGGCAATAGTTGCGAATCTGCTCAACGATGGTCCCCAACGTCGCCTCGAATTCCCCAATCAGCTTGGCATTTTCGGCCTGTTCACGCCTCAGGAGCTCGTTAAGACGACGTTCTTTCGCGAGGGCGCGTTCGAGCTCAGCAATACGGGCAGCTGCATCTGTCAGTCCGTCGCCATCACCTCTACTCCTCACATTAGACGTACCGCTGATTTCGCCGTTGACCTGCTGCAGGTTGGGACTCGCACCTTCCGCGGTGGAGCGACGCTGATCCACAAGTCAGCTATCCATCCATTCATCATTCCAATCTGGTAAAAAAAATGTAGATAGAAGCTAGACGTGTTGAACGGGAAATACATACCATGATCTCCTCGGCACTGTTGATAATACCACGAGTCATCTCACGATTGTGCTTCAGCACATCGCTGAGTTCAACGACCATTTCGTAGAGATGATTGAGATCCATCTGGTGACCCGCGTTCATCGGAACCCCAGCAGACATTCCTCCCCCACCGTTGGGCTGGGAAATGCCGTGCTGAGGCGACGGAGAGGGCGTCTGGCGAGACATGTTGGCCATGCTTGAAGAGTTAGGCGAGTTGTCGATGAAACCAGGCATTCCAGCACCATTCGAGGACATACTCTCACGACAGAAGTCGTCGTCGATAACAGCGGTGGAAGTCCGGCCTTCAGGACGCGGAATCAGGGGAGTTTCCGCTTCCCTGTCAGCGTCCCCTGGCTGTCCCAAGACCGCCTTTCGAACTTTGAGGATGTCAGCAGCAGCGACGAGAGACCTTAGACGCCGGTGAACACGAAAACGGCAGGGTGGAGGGACGGGGTTGCTGGTCTTCTCAGCACCCTGGTTGTCTTCGATATGTTTGATCTCGATGCCCGTGGACTCGCCTGTCTCCAAGTCCCCGCGAATCAGACCAGCCGCCGTGTCTGCCGCAGTCCCAATCGGGACAAGCGCCGGAGTCTGGAGAGTCATGGTCCGAGCTTAGCGTCACGGGCAGTGGGTGGTCCGTGCAGAGCTGACCGCCTGCCTGGAGAGGAATATTGATAGCAGGCAGGATGGACAGGGATGAAAGGGTGCAGGGGAAGAGTGAAATCCACAAATGGAATGGATCACATCCTTCACTTGTGGTGGCTAGTGAAGAATGCCTACAACCTAGTAAAGAGGGGCTGCACGCTTTCGCCAGCATAGACAGTTTACGACAATAATTCTTAGTGTCTGAGAAGTGAGAACAGTGATTCCTTGAAAGATTTCCTATCCACTTATTTGCTTGAATCCTTTGTTTACCCCAAGGATGCTGAAAGTAAATATGCATTCCTTGGGTTTCATGAAGGGTTCATAATATATCTCCCTGGCGGAGGGAAAGGAGAAGTGGCTATGGGCCAGACCGAAGGCACATCATAATAACGGAATGATGGGAACAAGTCTATCATTCGTTTTTCAAGTCATATCCAGCACAGCCGCGAGCTTCTGGTCAGGGTCTGTCGAAGGTACCATTGCTGACTGGTCTTCCCGCTGAATCTCCCTGCCCTGACTGAGCCGGCCAGCCACCCTCGCGACCAATATTCTCATCTTGTCCAGTTCCTGAGTAAGTTCACCATCTCTGGTGATTAGATTTGGCTGAATATTCTTCAGTGGATCTTTGAAAGGCTCCAAGAGTGCCTCAAGCTGCTTATACTGGGCCAGTCGCCGTCGTTGCTGTTGTCGCTTAGCATCCAACTCAATGAGCCTCTTGCGTAATTGGTCATATCTAAACAGGCGTTAGTAAACAAAGAGGGGAAATTGATTAAATAATAATGTATTACCTTCGTCGTTCCTCGGATCCGACATCTTCTGCTTGCCATTCGGTAGGCAATCTCTCAATAATTCTAGACGCAACATCAGCGCCGGTCCATACCCAGTCTAAGCGAATTTCCAAAATAAAAGGGTAGGATGCCTACAGATGATTTGACAGATCTGCTCCGACTTCAATTCCAGTCAAATTGCTTTCCGGATTGGCAGCATCTTTCTTGATGGTATCCCAATATAGACTTTCAATCTGTCGCGCGACATGATGTATTGCTTGGTTGGAGTAGACGACCCGATTGTGTTGTCTTAATATCGTATTTACTGTTGCATAAATTAGTTAAAACAATCACAAAAGGAGAATCAAGAGTAATCTGGTGTCTCTGTACCAACATTTCTGTAAAGCTTCCTCAACTACCTTCTCGCTGAGATCCTCTTCCGAATCCGGAGCATAGTCCCTCCAACCCTCCTGGGGCGCGAGAGCTGCAGTCAGGATCTGGACCTGGCTTCTAATAAATAAAGACTTCAACTCTGAAATCGTTCGCGAAGCCTCCATGATCTTGCATGTCGGAACCCCTCACATCTTGGACAGTACGCGTCTTTGATGATCTTTCCGCGTGGCGGCTGCGATTTGCGATCGATAACTGATCACGTGATGATAGCAACCGGCCCCACTCCGTTGGCTGAGGATCCAACCATCAATTGGAGCCACGGTCATCGGCTCTGGGGTCGTCGTCGAGCTGCTTTCGACGGAGTTCAGCTGTGGACAGTCGAATGGAAGTTTGATGTTGCAGCACGAGATGTCGAATGAGGTCCTATTCAGATTTCACCCCGCTCTTTGAAGAACAATTATCACATCTGTGCACGGGTTTTCGATGTTGTCAAATAAGCCCTTTCCCAGATAACCTCGGCAACTTTAATATATATCTGGCTATCAACGACCAACAAATAGGGTCCGAATCTCATACTGCCGCTCCAAAAGCATACATTACAATTCTTCTAAACAAAAAAGAAGATTTGAATCGTTTGCGGCTCTAGACTCTACCTACCTTGAGTTGCACTCGCAATGGCTGGAGACGAGCGCCCTCGGGTTCTCCTGTTTGATATTGGCGGAGTTTGTGTGAGTTGCACCAAGACCAATGGTGAGAAATTGAACAAATAAATTAACAGACCTTCAGGTGTGCTCGCCATTCCAAGCGATTCTAGACTACGAACTCGCAAACAACATCCCACCAGGATGGGTGAACTTCAGCATCTCACGGACTGCGCCCAATGGCAGTTGGCATAAGCTGGAGCGAGGCGAGATCAAGATGGATGCAGATTTCTTTTCAGCCTTCAGCCAGGATCTCCGGAGGCCAGAGCTCTGGAAGGAATTCCACGAGCGTCTTCGCAGAAAACAGAATCCCCCGAAGACATCAGAATCTCTTCCTCCCGTGCCTGAGGTCGACGGGGAATCACTCTTTTGGGAGATGATGCGAGTGTCTCGCGAACCAGATCCACACATGTTTCCTGCGCTGAAGAAGCTCAGAGCTTCGGGCCAATTCCTGATCGGTGCACTATCAAATACGGCAATCTTTCCCGAAGGACATCCTTACAACGAGGATGCATCTGGAGTCAGATCACAGTTCGACTTCTTCATTTCTTCCGCACATGTTGGCCTAAGAAAGCCAGACCCTAGGATATATGAGCTCGCGCTGAAGACGATAAAGGAACACTCAACCAGCCGAGGAGTGACAGATATCCGCCCTTCCGATGTCCTCTTTCTCGATGACATTGGAGAAAATCTGAAGGCGGCGAAGAAGGCGGGGATGAGAACGTTGAAAGTAAACCTCGGCAGGACACAGGACGCGGTCAAGGAACTGGAACAGATAACTGGCATCCCATTGCTGGAGAGCCAAGATAGACCTAAATTGTAGATTTAGAAAAGCGTCTTGTATACGCTTAACGAATTTTAACCTTCAATCAGAAGCCTTGTATTGTATTTACTAGTATAGTCCATAAATCCGTTCGCTGGGCGGGATTGCATGCACCACTGCGGATATCAGAGGGGCTTCTTGCGATGAGCTTTGGTACTGTTCTTCGGGGATTATTCCAGAGCAGCTCCAGTATCTTTCCAGAAAGGATTCACTATGTCTTATAATTTATTGGCTCGAATTCTCGGTTCCTTGGGCGAAAATTGTTGTTCGTCACCCACCCTAATTTTTTTGCTTGGGGCTCGTGGCCGACCCGGATGTCAACTCCGCTTTTGGATGGCCATCGCGCTAAGCGAAGCCGCGCCCGCACAAATTCGTCCCGCACAATTCCCTTGTCGCAACTTTTTTTCCTTGTCCACGCAGCCACCGTCGACAACACATAGGCTTCAGTCCTTGTCTCCTCGACAACCGTCAAGATGGTGAGTCTCACTGCATCTGCAGATGGCTGATATGCCTCTCTGCAAAATTCTTTCTGTTGCAATTTTACGGGTCTCTGCAAGATGCTTCGGATGGAGGGGGTCTTCTGAAGCGCAAATTGCTGACTCGTGTGATTCTTTTTGCAGCCTTTCCACAAGCTCGTGAAGAACAGCGCGTACTACAGGTGAGCTTTACTCGATCCCTTATTCCATGAGATCTGCTGCTAATGCTGTCGCAGTCGCTTCCAGACCAAGTACAAGCGCCGCCGGCAAGGCAAGACCGACTACTACGCCCGCAAGCGCCTCATCACCCAGGCCAAGAACAAGTATGGCGCGCCCAAGTACCGCATGGTTGTCCGCTTCACCAACCGGGACATCATCACTCAGATCGTGACTGCCGAGATCTCGGGTGACAAGGTCTTCGCCAGCGCCTACTCTCACGAGCTCAAGCGCTATGGCATCAAGCACGGTCTTACCAACTGGGCTGCTGCCTATGCTACCGGTCTCCTGCTGGCTCGTCGTACCCTGAAGAAGCTTGGTCTGGATGAGGACTTCAAGGGTGTTGAGGAGCCTGATGGAGAGTACACTCTGACTGAGGCTGTTGAGACCGACGAGGGCACCCGCCGTCCCTTCAAGGTCTTCCTTGATGTCGGTCTTGCCCGTACCTCCACAGGTGCCCGTGTCTTTGGTGCCATGAAGGGTGCCTCTGACGGTGGTCTCTACATCCCCCACTCGGAGAGCCGTTTCCCTGGCTACGACATTGAAACCAAGGAGCTCGACTCCGAGGTTCTGCGCAAGTACATCTTCGGTGGCCACGTTGCGGAGTACATGGAGACCCTTGCCGACGATGATGAGGAGCGCTTCCACTCTCAGTTCCAGAAGTACATTGAGGACGAGATCGACGCTGGTGACCTCGAGGACATCTACGCCGAGGCGCACAAGCAGATCCGGGAGGACCCGTTCAGGAAGGACCCGGAGGAGGGCCCGAAGAAGTCCAAGGAGGAGTGGAAGGAGGAGAGCAAGAAGTACCGCACGCCCAAGCTGCCTCGCGAGGTCAAGAAGGCTCGTGTGCAGGAGAAGATCCGCCAACTGGCTGGTTAAGTGGCAGGTTCAAGAATTGCCCATTTTCTTCAATATTCCTAGTGGCCAGAAAAAGCAAAGACACCAGGTCTCAGAAATTGCAAAACAAAAAAGCGGGTTTCTTCGATATGTCGTATGATGTCCTAATTTCCTGTATCAGCGTCATGGATCATGGGATCAGCGTTATGTCATGTAATGGGTTTCTTCGGAGCAAATAGTTCGGGTATACCAAGGGAGCATCAGTTCAACCAGTTCTGAATCGAATGCCCGAATATGCTTCGTGGATTCGTAGAATGCCCACAAGTATTTCATAGTCGCGTAGACGCCATCAGGGCCTAGAGTATTCATTCCCTGGGTTTCGCCTTACAGGGGACTCGCATTGTGTGACCCCACAAAACTAGATTCTAGTACGGAAGTACTGGTACAGTATTGGGCGTGACCAGTCATTTAGCTGGGGCAATCCTTTCCCCTCAGGAATTTTAAGCTAAGGCATCGTTCTGCATTTTATCTGCACGTGCACTTTGTCTAGCTAATAACCCCTCAAGCGATGGATTCCAAGGCTGTGCCCCGGCACACCGGGGGGAGACGCAATGGTCTCGTGACCGAGCTTGGTTGAAGCGGGTGGTACACGTGCAACGGCAAAGTGCCAACTATGTACGACTTAAGTCCCACAGCGTCGAGTCCAATGCAGTACAATTACATCAACAAATATGTCGTTTCATCATTGAAGGAAATAGCATAGCCAAGCTGAATGCTGTGTAACGTTCTGTGCATGTTCATAGAGTGCTTGCTGCGCCTTGGTGCAGTGCAGGCAGGGCGTTCCTAGATCGCGATTGTGGGGTCGAGTGGAGAGGAGATCCCATAGATGCGGTTCTCAAAGTCGGGAGAGTGCCCTTTCTCCCCTTCGTAGTAATTATTTGACTGCATAAGCTACCTACAGAGTGCCACAGTTGAGCATATAGACACTGTACCGAATATTTCGAGTATAGATACTGTGCTAATAGCTCTAAGTCCGTGGTAAAGCTAGAGGTCACAGTATTCTTGCCTCCACAGCTCGCATCGTGCCCATTCCGTTATGTAAAGCGTCGGACAGCAGCTGCAGGAAGCAGAGAAAGGTGGATTGTGGCATTTGGAGGCACGAGTCAGACAATCGCTGCATTATTCCCAGTGCCATTCCCCCTACCCAAGGAGGTAGCCACCTGCAGGGCTGCCAGTGCCCACCGAACGCTGGAACGCCACCCACCACCTGACGACCGACCTGGTTACCCAGTTGGGACTTCCCCCTCCCAGCCAGCCTCTCCGGCCAGTCAGGCCGTTGCCGCGAGTTGGGTCCCAAGGACTATTAGCTTCTTGCTCCTCCGGACTCCGTCCTGGTCTCTGTAGGCGTACGGAAGGTCCGACCTAGCCTGGTGATCCCACCAGCCGCCTCAGCCTTTTTAGCCCTGTTTCTCTTCTCATCGCTGCATTGCCGCTTGCCCCAGAATATCATCCCTTCTTTGTCCTCGTCTTTTGTCTTTCATCTTGCCATCGACATCCTCCCATCGCGTCCGCATCAAGACCATGCTCGCTTCCTTCCGCCGCCCTCCGATGACGGAACGGCCGCTGCTGCAGCATCAGTGACGATTCTCCGGCGCAGGAGCAAACTTTGGACCCACCGACAGTCTATACTCCGTCTCGTTTATTTTGGCCTCTTTGGCCTCTTTTTTTGTATTTCTGGCGGAAAGGATATATATTCGAAGCATACAGATTATATATATCATTCATTCTTGCGCCCCTCTACGTTGTTAGGTGCCACATGAGGATGCGGATCGGCAAGGAATAACGTCACCTGCGCTCCGCTCGCATTCCCCCAGCGATCTCCCGGAGACTTCAGCTTCCCTTGCCGTCTTCTCACTATTACCCGCCTTTCATTTACCGTCAGAGTACGCAATGGAGGCTGTTGAGAGCGTGGATGTGAGTTGGCTTCATCATTCTCATCGAGGTATGCATCGTTCAGCCAGCTTCCAACCTCGATGCACTTCATTTCTTTGTAGAAGCTTCAGCTTTTGCTGATACTGATTTTTCCTTGCGTCGACTTCAGATCATCTATCTCGAACGAAATCTGCCTCGTCAACAATTGCCGAGAAACAAAACGGACATGCTGAGACGTCGCCTCAGCAGCAGTCGCAAGGGAAGTCCGCTGGCGGCACCGGGTCGACATCCGGATCGGAACAGTCCATCACCGGGTCTTCTTCGACAGAAAGCCATCGCGAAAACACGCCATTAGATGTGAAATCTGGGACCGAAAATGACAATGCCGGAGAACAGAAGGCATCCAATACTTCAAATGCCACCTCCAAGGGGAGTGCGCCAAGGGCTATACCGATAAACAGGCGCAATTCGTGGATCTCGTCCCTGAGCTCGAGATTCTCCTCCGGATCTACGCCACCGTCCCAAAATAATTTCAAGGAGAGCCCCCCAAATCCAAAACAGAGTCCTCCGGCGACAAAATTGGACCAGTATAATCCATTCGGTGCCGCTTTTTCCCCTAAAGACAAGGACGAGAGGAACAATGACTCCTCGAATCCTTTCACGTCTAGCTCACCAAAGAATCCGTCGTTCTTTCAAAACGCTCTTCGGAAGCTGTCGTCCGGAAATGCTGGCCTGGGGAGGGGGTCAAATAACGGTACAGTCTGTCAACGTCGCGTGATGAACATCGACCCCAATCGCGACCGATGCAGGGTTCCCGAATTGAATCAGGCGAAATTGAAGCGTGTGGCTTTCTGTGTGGATGTAGAAATCGCCGGATTCTCTCCCAGAGAGGACGACTATGACACGAACGATGGACAGCGCGACGCCAATCAATCCCAGAATCCTAAAACGCTGTCCTTTAGAAAATCGGAGAAGTCAAAAGACAAAGGCGATGGGTCGACTTTGAAGAATCACCAGACGTCGGCCCCGGTGAAGGAAAGAGCGAGCAAGGTGCCGGAAAGGAGACCAAGCAGGGTGCATCCGTTAATGGCGAACACAAGACAGAGGGTCCGGTCAAGGAGCCCACTAGGAAACAAGAGAAAAAGAAACGGTCGGAGGAAGAGCGAAAGGAACGTAAAGAACGGAAACGAAGGCAGGCTGAGGCAAACGGCACTGTGCCATTACAATTGACGTTTGACGATGATTCCCGAGCGTCAACGTCGGGCGGCTCCCATTCAAGAGGGCAAAGCCATCCTACCACTGATCCAGTCCGAATTTACCGACGCTGTTGCCAACTTCGTGAAACTCCCGTTTTGAAGAAGCTCGTTGACCGGATGACTTCCCAATCCTCGACGCTGGTGGAAACTCCAGGCACCGTTCCGGTGTTAGATCTCACGGACTTCCCCATGACACTACAGGACATCATCACATTCAGCGACTGGCTTGCAATTGTTCCTGTTCGAAAGCTAATCCTCGAAAATTGTGCTCTCACCGATGAGGGTGTCCGGTCAATCCTGGCAGGCCTCCTTTCGACCAAGACGATGGAGCAAGCGAGGAATCACCGAAGATCGACAAAGAAGAATCAATCTGCAGCCAAGGAGGACGGATTTGGGGTCGTGGAGAAGTTGTCTTTAAAAAACAACCCTAAGATTGGTCCTGAAGGCTGGCGTCATATCGCTCTCTTTGTCCATTTGTCGAAGTCGATCAAGGCCATTGATCTCTCCGGCATTCCGTTTCCAAAGGCGCCGGCGGCCACCAATGGACCTGCGGTCAGGTCTGCGAAGCCTGCGACAGATATCGCTTCTACGCTGGCTAGTGCACTCGCAAACCGGTTCGGCGGGAACCGCTTGGAGGAACTGCTGCTCAGCGAGTGCATGCCGTCCACGGACGATGTGGCAAAGATCTGTGATGCCGCGATCTCCTTTGGACTGAGGAGATTGGGGCTAGCCAACAACAACTTGACCCGCGAAGGACTCGAACATGTCGCTCGGTATTTCCGATCTGGGACGTGCGAGGGGCTTGACCTGGGTGGGAACGATTTGAGAGACCATATGGATGTCCTTCTCCCTGCAATAAACGACAATAACCCTATCATGGCACTGAGTTTGGCCGATTGCTCGTTGAATCCCGCTGCCATGTTTCCGCTTCTCCAAGCGTTACCTCGTCTACCGAACTTGCGATTCATCGATCTCTCGCATAACCCAGACCTCTTTTCAACGCAGCCAGATGCGTTATCCATGCTCAGGAGATTCCTTCCTAAGATGCCTTTCCTGAGACGCATCCATTTGGCGGACGTCAATCTCTCGCCCGATCATGCGATCGCGCTTGCCGAGGTCCTCCCAGAGTGCCCTAGTCTCTGTCACCTGAACATTCTGGAGAATCCAAAAATCGTGAGCTTGACGTCGGCGACTGACCCTGCGAGTCAGGAGGAGGCTTGCGCCGTATATGCCTCCCTGATGGCTGCCGTACGCGTCTCGCGTACCATCATTGCTGTGGACATCGAAGTTCCCAGCGCAGAAAGCAGCGAAGTCGTCAAGGCGTTGGCATCACAGATTGTGGCCTATTCCCTGCGGAATCTCGGTGCCCTCGAGGAACTGAAGGGTTCAGACGATGCGTCTGCTGCCCGATCGCAGGTTCCGGTTCCAGAAGTTCTCCAGCATATCGTGGGCCAGGTTGATGGAACGCTATGTGATGGTACCGAAATTGAGCCTGCTCCGGATGAGGACTATGTCATTGGTGGCACCGGGGTTGTGAAAGCACTGGGAGTTTGTCTTGGTAATGTCGACCACCATTATCGTGAACTGGGCGATCTGTCTCGGCCTACCAGTGGCAGATCGACTCCTGTGCATCGACCTACATCTTCCCTCGGTAGCACCAAGAAGCCCCGTGACATGTCCATAAACCTGCTGGGTTCTGCACGGAACATTCGGGCGAGGATTCAATCGGCTCTTGTCCGGGAAGACAAAGCCGGCAATGATAATAATTATCGTAAGTTTCCTCATGTCAAAGGCCTTCCCCCCCCTCTTCTTTTCATGCTGACGAGTTGCGTCTAGGACGTCTCCAATTTCTCGACGTCACGCTGGAGAAGATTATCCAGCGATTCGAAGACGAATACCCTGAGACCAGAATTGGGCCTCCCACTGGGTCCACGGCTGGTGGAGAGGTCGGCTCCCAACACTCTAGTGAGGACGTTCAAGATCAGTCCTTGTTGGCTGGAAGTGTTCCGGCTGATACCGCTGTCGACGAAACTGCAATCGATGAGGAAGACACGGATCAATACGCCGTTCGCCTATCACGCAGTGGGTCGAATACCTCCCTCCATTCTCGGGCTCTCACCTCGGAAGAAGGCCACATTCACCGCATCGGTCAGAATCTGCGTCGGGATTTACTCGATTCCTCTCTGGGACCGTCTGCCGATGGGCTGTCCACTGTCCCGGATGAGACTCGCCTTGCTATATTACGGCAGAAGTTGGAGAGCTTGCGCGGAGACGAGATCCGTTCACGCGTGGAGAGCGTGGGCCCGGACAAGGCCCTTGAAGAACTGGGATCCACGGTCGAAGAACTTTGGATCATCCAGCGGCAAGACCAGGAGGCATTCCAGAAATTCAAGGAAAGCCAGATCGCCGCTCAGATCAACGGGGGGCTGCGCCCCCCTTTGGCAGACGATAGTCACCCATCAGGCAAGGGCTTCTGAGGAGCCCCAAGCCGGAGAAGACACCTCGTAGGTGCGCGCATCCATTCGAACAACGAAATGGATTTTCTTGGTGGCATTGGATTCATCTCCTCTGCCGTGTCTGGGTTTGCTTCGCCTCTGATGTGTCCGGGGAGTTGATGCTGCGGTCGATACTCCGCGGGCATCTGCAGTCCCTTTGGCACTATCGAGGTCACCTGTACACTTTCCCTTGTTGGTGATGTTCCGAGCGTCTTTGTATGCTGCTCTGTGATGATATGTGACTTTTGTAATGAGAGATGACTGGGTCTATTGTAAATGTTGCGACTGTGCGTTTGGGGTTTGCAAGGGTTTGATTTTTTTTTTGGGTTCTGATATGGCCGCAGCTCTCCTAGCAGAGCAACCCTGACTCTGGTTTGGCTACTGCACCGATACCAATCTGGTTTTCTTTGTGGTCTATGTATTCTCATCTCATCTATGTGTAATCTTACAGAATCTGTCGATTCGAGGATCCACTTGTTTCAGTTCTTGTTGAGATCTCGAACACTTTCTCTCCCATATAGATGGGTACATCCATGCATGTGACAGACGGTCTTTTCATCCGGTTGCTTCTCGTGCAGGTCTTGACCATCTTGCAGTAGGATGGAATCTATTCAACTGTAATGAAAGAACAACAGAGATCTACATACGGCATTTTCATTCTGTCCACGTGTCCATTGATGTTCCTGTTGATGTCGGCCATTATGATTATATTTATCATAATCATCAATGCTCTGTAACTAGTTAGTCCACAGGGTTACGTCATCTCCCGCATGCTGGGGTGCCTTATATTATTCCGGCACGTGATTGCTCCATTGGAAGGTTGGGTTTGGAATCCATGGTGTAACTCATAAAAACTGGGTAATCAATCTGCACAATGGTAACTGAGGCTTATCAACCAAATAATGGGAATGGGGGCCACCAGGCAGGGTGGTGCTGATATTCATTGCTGCCCCAGGAGTTGTTATCCTCGGCTGTGGGGGAACCGCCTGCCAGACCGGATCAGCTGCGGCAGCTTCACATGTCAAAAACACAACGCGGCACCAGAGTGTCCTGCCACCATCAATTTCGGTCCAGGTTTATTCCTTTCTTGTCGCCATTCTGCCAAATGACGCGGCAGGTCTTCTCCTCTCAGCCCGTCGATGACCTTGCCTCTGGAAATCTCGTTTGTTGAGTGCTACCATGGCTGCGCAATCCAAGCTGCTCCCTCCGGAGCGCTCCATCCGACAGATCGTCTCGCACCTGACGGGCCTGTATGTTAGACACCGCACCCGCATCTCGCGCGCTGTCTACCTCGCCCTCTTCCTCGCGCTCGCCCACCGCATTCGCAATGCCATCGCAGAGCAAAAGGCCGCCTCTCAGCGACAAGAAGAGCTGCGGGCCCGGCCAGGGACCAGCACTCTCGGTGACGAAGGCGCGGGCGCGACCAGGAAGAGGGTCGAGCTGAATCGCGAGTTTTTGCGAAACTTGCTTCGCCTTCTGAAGATCGTGATACCCGGCTGGCGCAGCAAGGAGTTTCGGCTGCTCATCAGCCACAGCATCTTCCTCGTGCTGCGGACAATGCTCAGTTTGTATGTCGCTGAACTCGACGGCAGGCTGGTCAGCAACCTGGTCCGTGGCAAGGGTAAGGACTTCTTGTCTGGTCTCGTGTGGTGGATGACAGTAGCCATTCCCTCGACCTTTACAAATTCCATGGTAAGTGCGAAATAACAGACTAGCTGGTGTGGTGTTCAAATCTGGCTGACCTGGGACAGCTCTCATACCACCAGTGTCGGCTGGCGTTGCAGTACAGGAAGCGCTTGACCGACCACGTGCATGACAAATACCTGTCCAACATGACCTTCTACGCCCTTTCGGCTCTGGACGATCGCATCAAGAACCCGGATCAACTCGTCACCGTCGACATCTCCCGTTTCTCTGACAGCCTGGCGGAGTTGTATTCGAACCTGGCGAAGCCCATCCTGGACATGATCATCTACAATTACAAGCTTTCTCAAAACGTCGGGATGGAGGGTCTTTTCCTGATGAGTCTTTTGGTCCAGCTGTCGGCCAATGTGATGCGCATGCTGACGCCGCCGTTCGGGAAATACGTCGCTGATGAGGCTCGGCTGGAGGGAGAGTTCAGGTTCCAGCACACGAGACTGATTGACTACAGTGAGGAAATTGCGTTGTATCGCGGCCACGAGGCGGAGAAAGACAACCTGGATAAGGGCTATTTCACGCTGATCAAGCATGTGAACCGCATCCTGCGCCGGCGGCTGTACCATGGTTTCATGGAAGACTTTGTCATCAAATATTTCTGGGGTGCTCTGGGGCTTATTCTATGCAGTATTCCAGTCTTCTTTAAGATTCCTGGCCAGGTCGGCAAGACAATGGGGGATAGGACGGAAAGTAAGTTGTCTCGCAATCTAAGGTGACGGGAGTAATTCTAACATGTGACAGGCTTTGTCACCAATCGGCGATTGCTCCTCTCTTCGTCGGATGCCTTTGGCCGTGTGATGTTCTCTTACAAGGAGATCTCCGAGCTTGCGGGGCACACCGCGCGGGTTTCCTCTCTGCTGGACGTGATGGAGGACGTGGCAGCTGGACGGTTCGAGAAGAAGTTGGTTTCGTCGGCCTCGACAGACGAAAATGCAGCAGTCCTCGCTGGCCGGGGAACTGTGGTGGAGAGCGAATCGATCGAGTTTATCGACGTTCCAATCGTCTCGCCCAACGGCGACGTCCTTGTCCGGAAGCTTTCCTTTACTGTGCATCCCGGTGACCATCTCTTGATCGTTGGGCCTAATGGTTGCGGGAAATCGTCCTTGTTCCGCATTCTTGGTGGCTTGTGGCCTGTCTATGGAGGCACGGTCAAGAAACCAAGCTCCGAGGACATCTTCTACATCCCCCAGCGACCGTATCTGTCTCGTGGGACACTTCGCCAGCAGGTGATCTATCCGGACGGCGTTCGCGAAATGCGGGCCAAGGGTGTCACTGATTCGGATCTTCTTGAAATCCTATCTATCCTAGAAATATCATCGATTGTCGATCGCCCAGGAGGATGGGACGCTGAAGAGGAGTGGCGGGACGTTCTGTCAGCGGGGCTGCAGCAGCGGATCGCCATGGCTAGGCTTTTCTACCACAAGCCGAAATTCGCCATTCTCGATGAGTGTACGTCATCAGTAACATTGGAGATCGAGAAAGTCATGTATGAGACCGCCAAGAGACTCGGTATTACGCTGATGACGGTATCTCACCGTCGCAGCTTGTGGAAGTATCACAAGAAGATCCTGCAGTTTGACGGTCAGGGTGGCTATATTTTCACCGGGTTGAACTGGGAAAGGAGACTGAAGCTTGAAGAGTAAGCAACTTTTCCTTCTATGTCATTATCTCTGCGAGAATATAAAGCTAATGCTTTTCTAGTGAGAAGGAGGAGCTCGACCTCCAGCTGCGCGCGGTACCAGAAATCGAAAAGCGCATTGCCGAACTGACCGCAGCGTAAGCCCTTATTCAACAATATATCTGGCTTTATGAGCGCTATTTTCCGGTGTGGAGACGCGTCAAGATACGTAGTGAAAACAATCAAAGGATTGTCGCGAAGTCTTTATCTACTGAAGTCTTCGGGTGTCCTTTTGAACAAAGAGAGACCTCCTGTCAACAATCGCCAACTGGGAGCTAGAGCGTTCTTTCACTGTCAATTCTTTCATCCGCGGTTTCCGACTCCTGGACGCTTTCATTTGGGATCCATCTCATTGATGGTGAAGCTCAGGGGTTGGATTATCCATCGACAATGAGGGTTGTTCTTTGAAGCTTTCAAGGATGCATTGGATATCACATCTCTTTGCTGATCGTGTCACCTAGCTCCCTACGTCATCGTTCATGCGATATCTCACATCCATCATGGGTGCACAATTTTCAGTCCCTCGATCAGAATGTACAGTAACGGTTCGAATCGATCAATGCAGCACCAACCATCGTTCCACCGTCGAATGTTCTATGGAGCTTCCTCTCAACCGTGCGTTTGAGATTGACATTGTCAACAATCTCCCAAACCGCAAAGGAAGATGCGCGACGACGATCGCGAACTCTTCTGCACCTGCTCTCGCCTGCGAAGGTGAAACTCTCCTGTCGCCAGCATCACCGGAGTCCATAACAGCTAGTCCTATCCTTACTCCGACGACATGGACAAGGACATTATCAGCACATTCCGCAACAGGAAGCGCTATCAGTTCCCGTCCAGTTGGCCTCCGTCGACGCGAGGATGCTGCAAGAGGCATGCTGATTGGTATCAAGATCATGACAGGCGAGATTCGAATTCGATCGTCACTACACGACGGCGTCCACGAGGAGGAAAAAACGAGTGAACGAATATCCGAGTTGGATGATGATGAATATTCTGCGGAAAACAACTCTCATTATTAAATTCATGCGGTTGGTTACCATAGACAGCAGTCAGACTGGTTGGTGCACATAGAACGAAAAAAAAATACTTGTACGAATACTATCTATCTATATAGATATATCCTACAATCGAGTCGAGTCGAAGCAATTCGATCTACAACGATCCAATCAAGCCTGATAGAATAAAAATGATAAATAAATGACAGAAGGGGAAAAAAAAAACAAAAATGGAGGATTAACAAAGGATTAACAAACCTTCCTCACTGCATGTTGATATAGACTCTGCATTTCATCATGTTACTGATAATCCCAAATTAGAGAAATAAATTGTAGTCTGTTGTCGTCTAGTTGTATGTTATGTCATGCACAGTACAGTACACGTTGACAGTTCCTAAGAGTACTTCTTGTCCCGAACAACTCGTCGATACGGCCCCTTCCCATCTTCATCTCGTTTGAACACCAACTCCAACCGCCCGTCGACCTCTGTCTCGCGCACACTGAGCAGTTTCCTGAACGTCTCCGTGTGCTCGATCACCGCGCCCGTATTCTTGAGTTCGGCGCTGGGTGTCGAGTTCATCGCCAGCGCCGTCAGTCCCGAGATGGTCGACCACGTGTGCGAGGCTCTCATCGTGCCTACAGAATATAACGCATAGGCTACCGCGTACACGCAGTACACAAACAGGATCGCTAATGCTACCTTGATTGTGATCCCGTCTATTATCCAGGCATATGTTCCTGGGAGATAGCCGTGGATGGGCAGGATCACGCCGGTTGGGTTGGGTTGTTAGACGTTCTCACCACCTCCGGTAAGCGTCCACAGCTCGACGACTCCTGCGGCGTGCGACAGCCCGTTTGCGACCAGGGCTGCGATGAGTCTCTCGTGCAGAAACGGACGCCCCCAGCCGTTGGACGAGTGGGTGATGGCCGCGTCCTGCTGGTAGTAGTTCGGCAGGAAATCTCCTCCGACAGGACAGATATAGCTCGTCAGCGGCAACTGGCCCAGCAGAATGTCGGCTACGGTGCGGTTGTTAATGCTCGTGGTTGGGTTCAACCCCTGCTCTGCCCACGTTTTGCTCATCGAGATCGACGGCTGCTGCGTCCAGCGAGGCACCGTGACGAGGTCATCCGGAGACAGCAGGTTTTGCGCCACGAGTCCCGTGTGCATCCCGCTTCCTGGGATATTATGCATGTAGGTGGTCGTGTTGGCCCATTGTGCTCCCACGAGGCATGCCGACGTCGTCAGGTTGGTCTGATTTGCGCTACAGAAGTCACCCTGCACGACGATGGCGCCCAACGCCGTCCCATTGACGGGACTCGTCACAGCCACATCGTCGATCCAGATAATCCGCCCCTCGGGCTTCTGCCGTGCCTGTTCCAAGATCTCTCTCCGGCTGATGGCCGTATACGCAACCGTGGCTGGAGGCGGGTTCAGGGTATGGGTCGGTTCGCCGTACGGTTCAGAGTTCCAGGGACAGTCATTCCCGTGGCACCCGGCGATGTAGGTGGTGGGAAAGTTGATCGGATCTTCATCATATTTGTCCCTGATGGTATTCATCACACAGTAGGCGCTGGCGTACGCCTGAGGCATGTCAATCCTGGCATCGATGACCATCGGCATCGCTTCGTCGTACAATTCCGGTTTACCGTACACAAGTTTCCCGGCATACATTTCAATGCCAAGTTGCAGAGCAAGGGCTACGGGGACATGTTGAACGGTAACAATTGTGCTGTTGGGCGCGTACTGGACGTATATTGATCGGGTCACCTCCGGCTCCATTCCCGAATCGATCCCCGCCCGGGGAGTGTATGTGGCCATTTGGGACGAGTAGACATCCGGCATGATCATTTCCGGCAGCATACCGCCAAATTGTTTGTTCGGGACAGACTTGGGCTGGACGCCGGTCTGCGAGTCTTCCAGCGGGGGCAGGTATGCCAGATACTCCCACCCCGAGGCAGGGGACGTCTCGGTAAAGCGTTCATCATACGGATCGGAGTCATCCGTTGGATCGACGGATGAGAAGTTGGTCGAACGCAAGACAGTCGGGTAGAGGATGTCGCTGGTGACATTCAAGGCTACGCCGTAGTCCGGCAGCGTGAAATTGACCGGCCGCGGCTGCATGGCGATCGCACTGGATAGGCCCACGGCCGCAGCGAGGAGAGTGCTGAAGGCAACGAACAGCAAGAATGGGACCTTCACGAAGGCCGGCCACCCCGAGGCCGTCACCGCGGCCCGAAATTCGGGAGACCACAGATAGCTCATCTGGGTGACCTGGTAAGCGAAGAAGATGGCGCCGAACGGCAATGGGCGTCGGCCGGTATAGGCGACCGCAACAGTGACGATGGACACCTGCATGAGCAGCTCGTGCACTTTGGCGACGAACTGGAGCGTGGGGATCCAGGTGGCGTTGTAGGTGTAGTAGTTGCCGTTGATGTTGATCACGATGAGGGCGATGGCGACTCCGATCGGGATGCTGTGCAGCAGGAAGAAATCCAGGAATACTCTCGACCCATAGTCCCAGACCATCTTGGGCCGTTCTGAGGGTTTCTTTTGTTGTCGGCCGCTTTTTGATGGTCCTTGGAAGGTCCATCGTGGTGGCCATGAGCTTCTTTGAGAATGGGTTCTTCCGACGGGTTTAGACTTGTCTGGGCCTCTTCATCGCTATATACCAATCAATCAATATGTGATTGATGCAAGGTAAAAACAATGGTCCAGTCCACATACTTGACATCGCAAGTCAAGTCCGCCGCCATATGGCGACTGTTATTCAGCTCCCGCGATCCACGGTCGATATTCCAGTTCCTCCTGCGGTCTCTCCCTCTCCCTCTCTCTACGCGCCGTCTTTCAACTTTTCATTTCTTTGCTCATCACCAAGAATGAAAAAAGAGTAGAAATCCAGGGCAGGTGAGGAAGAGAAGTCCTTTTTATTTTTGAAGTCGAACCCTGCGGGCCGGTTAATTAGTACATCTACTCAGCCGCAGGGCTTAGCGGTTGGTTGATCGACAGAAAGCAATAAATACCTAATACGAAGTTAGTTCAAGATAAGGGGTAAATATACCATCCACTCTCACAGAATACTAACCTGGATGCAACTAACACCTTAAGACCTCTTTTGCATAAAAAAGAAAGAGAAGAAACTTACTTCCCACATAGAGAGCAAGACGACTATCAGGAGCGAATATAAAACTGAATGAAGGAATCATTTCGTTTCCTGTCTTCAAACAACCTTGATTATTGTGGCTGGATCGTGATCAGTATTGGATACCTAGTGCCAACAGCAACAAACCAGCATCACCACCTGATTGGTCGGATTTGTCAATCTATAAATAGGGAAACTTGAATGGCTGCTCGTCAAGATGCGGTGCAAAGACAGACCAATCAGGATCCTTGTTGTCTCCGTCCAACAACAACCTTAACAGTTAATGCAACTGTCAGCAGGGGCGGTCTCCAATGGCGGCGATGGGTCTAAGGAGACCCAGATAGAGTATGCACATGTATGATGTATATTCCATCTAGGGAGTATCTATCCGCTGTCCAGAGTACTACACTCAGGACGAGTGCCTATAATCAGTGATAGGTCACGCTAAAGATTTCAAACTTGCCAATTTTGTTGCCGTACTGGACCGTCCCATCAACACCATTCTGGACACTCAGGTACGTCGAGTTCGCGCCCACTTGCAGCCGGTAAAGGCCGTTTTTCTCGTATATGATGGTGAACGCCTGTGCGGCATCAGACGAATTGGTCAGTTTGGGAGAAGACGAGGAGGCGATGTACTGCCTGTCCACGGCGCTTTGGATGGTGAACGTGTTGCTGCCAGCTTCGAGCTCGTGGATAATCCACTGTTGCCGGATGTCGTCGTGCTGGGCTGTCGCTGGCGTGACTGTGACGGTCTTGCTGTCCTGGTTGGCCAGCGCAAGGCCTTCCGTCTCGAAGGTCAGGTACCGACCTTCTGTCAGGGCGCCGCGCACCGGCTTGAAGCCCTCCTCCACCAGCAGCGTCAGGTTGGCGTTTGCGTTGGCCGGTCCGTACGGCACCGGCGGCTGCGTCTGCGGGAATTGCGCCTGGCATTTGGCCGCGCCGATGTAGTTGCCTGTCAGAGAGCCCAGGCTCAAGTTGCCGCTGTACTCGCTTGAGTTGAGGGGTTCGGTCAGAGGGGGGATTGCCGCCGCAATGTTGGGGAGTGAGTAGTCGGGCTAGTAACAACGACAGGTTAGATAGGTTGATTATATAGATTATCTATATAGTATATAGAGAGATCGCACCTTGTCAAAGTCAAAGGCATTCACCAAATTCGACATGTGCTCGCGCCGCCACGGCGGAATTTCTTTGCTCTGAACGCCCTGGTATCCCAAGGCTTCCAGCCATGCTTCCAAGAACAAGATCTGCGAGGTGTGGTCGGCATGCTCTGTGAACACCCGGCCACCGCGGGTCCATGGAGAGATGATGTAGAACGGAATCCGGAAGCCTATGATATTGTCTCTTTAAGCACATGTCACAATACCCTGTATCGATATATGTGTAGACGCACCTGGTCCGATGGGTGTGTACCCGGCACTTCCATACGGATCTTCGATCCATTCACCTGCGGTCCCATTTGGAGCATGGTAGGGCACGACATGGTCTCCAAAGCCACCGACCTCTAGACACAAGTTGGTACGGGATGCAAAACGCCTCTCGATACGATATTCCTACCATCGTAACTGATCATCAAGACCGTTTCATTGTAGATAGGGCTGTTGATCACAGCATCAACCACCTGTTTCCGCAACCAGGCGCCATCGCTGGGCAAGTAGGGGGAACGCTCTGACAACTCAGCCGGGCCTATAATCCAATAACCTGGGGCAGTGTGCCGTTTTTGGCATCCGCGTAGAACTTGGCCAGTCCCGGGTAGGAGTTACCATGGATGGTCAGCGGAGAGGTGGCGTTGGAGTTCTGGTACTGCACGAAATACGCCAGCATGTTGTCCTCGAAGTTGTCAAAGTCCTGGTACACCTGCCAAGTCACCCCGGCTTCTTCCAGGTATTCTGGGATCGTCTTCCATGGGAACGGATAACAATTGAGAAGAGGTTCCTCACAACCTGGGAATATACACATCAATACTAGATATCTTTCCCATACTGGGTCATATCGTACTTACCAGGTGTGGCATTGTTGTCGAGAATCATGTCACCCTCCCCATCAGGGTTGTTAGGAGTGCCCGGATTGTTCACCGTCCCACTCATCCAGACGACACGGTTCGGATCAGTGGCTGCCATAACAGCTTCCTAAATTTGTAGATTCGACTAATCAGCATGGCTTTTATTTATTTTTATTTTTCTTTTGTCAGCGGAAGGCAAAGACACACCTGATACATGTCAGCCACGGTCCATCCCTCGGCAATATCAAAGTGAACCGGGATGTCCTCTCTCCTGAAATAACCCCAGCTCTGGCGTATTGGTTGCCACCCACTGGTTGACCAGACCACCGTTGTATGCGGCGTGCATGGCCTGCCAGCTGTTGTCCCCCGCGCCCATACACTGCGTGGCATTGCGCCAGTCGCCGCCCAGGTAGTTGAGATACCAGGGTGTTAGGATGGTGGTGTCATTGCTCTCGGCAGGAGTGACCAGTTTAACATGTACATAAGCATCAACTACTGGCGCGGAATTTGTGGATATTAATTGACCTACTTACTGTTGGAAAGTGCTGTGTCCATCCGGATTGACTTGGACGTTCGGGTCAGCGAAACCGCGGACACCGGCCATGGTTCCAAAATACTGGACATGTCAGAACCTGGTAATCCACACGGTCAAGGAAAGGGTCTTCTAACGTGGTCAAAGGCTCTGTTCTCCTGCATGAAGAGAACGACATGCTTGATGTCCTTCAGCGACCCGGCCGAAGCGGCGGTTGCGAGGGAGGCCGCAACCACAACGACGCTGTTGGGACGCATACTGTTCGATCAGATATCAGAAAGGCCAGACTTGTCGACTGCGAGGCAGCTGAATACCTGAGGAGCCAGCCATCTTATATCGTCTGGACTTGTTACATCACCCAGATAGTACTCTTTCTTTCTCCGCCTGGCACGTGGGCTGCTAGCCGGCATCGATCGGTTGCAGCACACCGAGAAGAGCTAACAGGGCAAGTAGGCAAGTAACATGGATGTCACCTCCCTGCTGGGGAGGTAGCTAGTCGTTAGTTAGTCTTGTGCCAGCGACACGGAGAGCAAGGATGGCTGTTCTCTAGGATGCAATGTAATCAATTTAATGCAATGGATCCCCGCTGGCACCTTGCCATCCGGGGAGGATCCGGGTGTGCCAATCAGTCCGTCACATGCCCTGTCAGTCCCCATCGCATCCATCTTGTTCATCCAGCACGACAGAGCCAAGTGATCCCGCTGGATGATCCTCCCCACACGTCCAGACGTGTCTGATCACCCTAGCTTGGCAAAACAAACACCTACCTGAGCAGGCAGTTACATATCCAGACTTCGACGGTCTGGATTGTCTATCGAGCTGGAGCAATAAATAGCAAATAGGACAAGAAAATACGAAAAAAAAAATCCTGTTTGCAGTAATCAGGACACCAGCTCTTCTCGATGAATTGAGAAGACGAGGAAGAATAATGCCTCTTCCTACTCTGCTGCGACAGCTCATGTCCTTCTTCAAATCGTCGACTTTGGATCCCAAAAATGCGACCAGACTTCATGTTCTTGCGGGCACAGTCCTGCTCCTGACGGTATTCGGTCTCTACGGTGCATACTATTCGGCCAAGGTCTCCTCCTCCTTGGGTCCTTCGATCGACGACCAACTTTGCCTCAGCAGAAGAGGAGGACGGTCTCGCAACCGTGCTGCATCCGGAGCAGCATGTCTTTCGTGATGCCAGGACCATTCGACTGCAGTGGAACATCACGCTCGGTCAACGTGCACCAGACGGCGTCACAAAGCAGGTCTACCTGGTCAATGGTGAGCTCACATCGTGCAGCTAGTACAGTGCGATTGTGGTAAAACTGGCGCAAGGCTAAATAAATTGAAACTTGACAGGGCAGTTTCCAGGCCCTACGATTGAGGCTCGATCCGGAGACGAGCTTGTGATCGAGGTGCAGAACTCTTTGGAAGATGACGAAGACTTGGCGATCCACTGGCATGGGCTCTCCACGAGAGGTCAGTCATCTGAGACACGTGTTTTGATCCCAGGGTAAATAATTACTAATATTTTCTAGGAGCAAATGAAAATGGATGGAGTCGTAGGACTAACTCAATGCGCAATCGGCAAATCCCAGAGCTTTACCTATCGCTTCCAGATTGAAGATAGCCAGGCTGGCACCTTCTGGTATGTCGACACATAGTAAGGCTTGTACTGTACATACATCGTGTTCAACAGCACGCCGACTCGTGATGACTCACCCAGGTATCATGCACATTCCGGAGTTCAGCGTGTCGATGGCCTCTATGGCGGCCTGGTGGTACACCGTCCTGCTGCGCAGAGCACATCCGAGATGTCGACCTATCAGTACGATCGGGAACTGCTACTTCTCGTCGGCGATTGGTATCATCGGCAGGCGCACGAGGTCTTGGATTACTACCTGGACTGGAAGAACTTTGGCATTGAGGTTAGTCTTGTGAGAAGTGTATTTGTCCGATTCAATCCGCTTGCTGATATGAACTGAGCCCAGCCCGCTCCGGACTCTCTTCTTATCAATGGAGAAGGCCATTTCAACTGCTCGATGGCTGTTCCGGCGCGACCGGTCCAATGCGAACAGGTTTCGGTACCGCAGCTGAAATTCAACGACGGGCGCTCTCGACTGAAGGTCGTCAATACGGGGTTAGTCGATTTGAGAAACACTTACTTCCGAGTCTGTGCACTAACGCTTTGCCTTTGATAGAGCATTGGCTGGATTCACATTATCGATGTCGGGGACTGAAATGAAGCTGATCCAAGTAGATGGCGGGAATACTGTGGCTGACACACCCCGTACTGAATCCATTGGCATTCTCTATCCAGGCGAGAGAATGGACATCATCATAGAGCGCGCTGGTAGCACTAGCACCCGAGATAGAGAGTCGACGTTGACCGTCGCCCTAGATCAAGAGTATGTATACCATTATCCAGTCAACCGGGCCAAACGTCTCGACTAAGACAAAGTGTGTGTGTACTGAGCATGTGCAGACATTTGAAATTCAAAAACTTTGCCCTCACTCCGATTCAATCGTTTCCCATTTCGTGGTTACCATCCACACAGAGTGCATCACTAGCAAATCGAACAGAATCGATACATGTACATGTTATACCCTTCCTCAGTTTGGGAAACATAACCGGCCCCGTCCTGATGACGGCGGATGATATCCCCCAGAAACAACCCACACAGACGTTTGTGTTGTACACCAAGATCGAGATCCTCGCCAAATACAGAAATATCCCCAAGGGTTTCGTGAATCGCACGTCCTGGGTGGTTGAAGACGCCAAGGCACCGCCACTCCTGGCGCTTGATCGGAGTGAGTGGGAGAAACAACCGCAAAAGGAAAAGACGTATGTGCCATGGGCGACCCAGTCTGGGGAAGGGCAATGGATGGATATCGTTTTGAATAACCTCGACGATAGGGGGCATCCATTTCATCTGGTGAGTGCGAACCAAATATCAACTGAAAAAGAAAGGGGGCGGGAAGATGGGAGAAGAAGAGGCAGACTAAGCTAATCTATCGTGATCATCAACCGACCAGCACGGCTACAACTTCTACGTCCTCTCCTCCCACCGCTCCCCCAGCGGTCGCTACGAGGCATACAACCCCTTCAATCCCACCGTGGCCGTCCCCGCCGGCGCGCCGCTGGACACGCTGCACCCGGTCCGAAAGGATACTGTGTACGTGCCCCGGATGGGCTACGTGGTGTTGCGCATGCCCTTGAACAACGACGGGCTGTGGTTCCTGCACTGCCACACCATCTGGCACCAAGCGGTTGGGATGGGCATCGCGTTGCAGGTTGGAGAGGCTGCTTCTGCTCCGTTGGCGGAGGCTAAGTCGAGAGCAAGCGCTCTTTGTAATTCGGGTTAGAGAGGTGGATATATGCCATTACATATCTATAATGAAAACGACTGTGTACAAGCAAATGGTGATTATTTATTTCATTGTTATTGTTTCACAACTAGCTACAGCAACTATATTCGCAATATATATCCCTCTACAAAAGTGCGCAGGGCAAAGGGCACAGGGTACAACAGAATGAAATAGAGTAAATGTACGCCCCGCAGATGATTGGCTATTATGAAAAAGAGATAGATTAAGGAGATCAGGGGGTTTCTTTTCGATGGGTATAAAAAAAAACAGGGGAAGGGGGGGGGGGGGGGTGGGGGGAAACTATACTATATTATACATATATCAGATTAATTAGTGCATTGACCAGGGTACGGGGTAGTGGTTGGTTGGTCGCGAATGAATAAATCATCAAGCAGCGCAAACAAATGATGTTCGGTCACATGTGTTTTCAGGGTATCCAAGTGTCATCCAGGCAGGCTATTCACATGCAGACTGCCTCTGGTAGATTGCTCTGTGAGCGACGCTTGGACTGGGAAGAGTACCTTGTCTTGCCTCTCAGGATCTTCTTCCTGGTGCTTCTTGAACCCGTTTCCGTAAAATGAGGCGACACTTGACGCTCAGTCATGTGAAATCCTGAATGACGAGATGAAGGTGTCAGACAAATCGACCAGCTTCATTTCATGACTTCGAGTCAGAGGTGCTTTGAGATTCAGACGGTGCGACAACTTCGGTACTCTTTGCTTCGGGCGCTTCAGCCTGATCATCCTCGACCTTGGCAACCTCCGAGTTTTCCTTGGGTGCGGGTTCTGAAACACTGGAGCTGGATACGATAGCTTCCGAGCTTTCGCTCTTGCCGTGTTTCGTCTCCTGCGACCCCGAAGACGGCTCGTCAGAAGCGTTTTGTGTATTAGTTTCCCACGGCGGAACGGTCTTTGACAGCGGCGACTTTGGTAGAGGAGCATCATTCGTCGCAGGTTCCAGGCCGCCTTCTTCCTTTCGGTGCGGAGATAAGGAATCGCTCCGATCTTTCTTCCGGAGAATGGCACTCCACCGCTTCCTTCGACTTCCACTTCTCGCAAGGCCAGATAAATCTTCGCTCCTCCGATGTGGCGATTGTGTTCGCCCCCGATCTGACTCAGCTTTCTCTGTGTTGGCAAGCGTTGTCGTCGAAGATGATGTGAGGGACGACCGCGGTGGTGATGTGGTCGTCGGAGAACTTGATGCATTTCTCCGCTCTTGCCATTCCTTGCGTCGCTCACTGGCCCATGCGCTCCAGGAGCTGAAGTATGCACCCGCTTTCTGACTAGCTGCGCTGACGGAAGCCTGCGCTTGGGACAGATCCACAGAAGGTGCCTTGCGACCTCCAAACCAGGAGTTCACTGATATTGAGCTCCGTGGAGAATGAGGCGGTGAGGTAACAGACTCCTTGTCCTCGGATTGTCGCTCTGCTGCTTGCTGTGCCTTCTCTTCGTTCTTTTTCCGCATGGCTTCAATATCTGCCCAGAAGCTACTGAACACCGAGCTCATCTTCTTTTGACCGCTTGCAAGATGCTTGTTCAGCGCCTCGCGACCCTCTCGCACGCGCTCGTCAAGATGCAGCTCAGCAACCTGTTGCGTCAGTCGTCGCTGGATGTCCTCGATCGTGAGTCCTCCAGCACAGGGATGCCGGGGCTCTACGATGGAGAAGAGGAGTGCATCCGACGTCAAGCGCTTGAAGAGAGCATAGTTCGCCGTCTTTTGCCACCGTGCTAGAAATTCGGAGTTGAAATCCAACGCCGGGTCACCCTCAATATCGAACGTTTGCGCTTTGATCTTGGAGCCGGCTTCGGCGTTTGTCCCCGACGTGGATTCTAGATGGTCATGATAATTCATGCAGGATAACAGTGCAAGCAGGTATTCCTCGAATTGAAGCCTGATAAACTCCTCAGAGCCCATGTAGCCATGAGTTTTGGGTTGCCGCGGGTGCGCGTCATCCCACGTATCATTGACCGCCTGTGTCAGAAAATCGATCCACCGCCTATCTGCCGGGGTGAGAGACAATGCGCTCCGTAAGGAGGGAGAGGTTATATTGATGGTTCCCTCGTCCAGCTGCGGAGTAATGTTCAGATCTTATATTTCAGTAAAATAGGGGATGGCTTCTTACATTAATAAGGATATCGCTGTAGCGGTCCTTCTGCTGTAAAAGCAGCGAATTCGTCGATCCCACAACGTACGACTTAGTTCCGTGATCTGCGAGCAGGTCCAGCTGCTGCAAAGGTGTGTAGGGACCGAAAATACTCCCCTTGGAAATGTCAGACCCGTTCACATTGCACTTTGGAAGAAACATCAATCAGACCTTTCCGAAGATTTGAAGGGGCAGACCCATGTATGCAAGTACTAAATGTGTGTTAGCAGGGACCCCGGGTCTTGTGGTGACAGTCTACTCATACAAGAGCTCCTTTCACTTGTCTTTAGAGAACTTGGTTTCTCGGCATTCTGGGCGTAGCTGTCAAAGGCTGGGTCGGCACAATCTTGAAGATTACTGATGAGACCGGGTATCAAAGAAATCAAAGAAAATTGTATCATGCATAAGCGTTCGCATCGTGAACCAAAAAATAACATCTGTGTGTTGATGAGCACCATCATTCTCAAAAGACAGGTGCTCTCCATACCTTGGGCTGTAATAGAAGACATTTAAACAGAACGAGAGTTTGATATTTAAATTCGTGGATCATTTCTCGTAAAGAGAGGCCTTCATTTCGATTAGCACGAGCAGAACATACCTCTGCAAGATTTCCCAGCGAAACTCACCGAGGTATTGATCTTTCCGTGCCTCTTCATTCCTCAGACTGACTAACAGGCTCTCCCGGAATTTCTAGTCACCAGCAATGAGTATACGATATCACTTCAAGAGTTGAAGTCAGGTATACCTTTAGGATGTCAGTGTCCGAGAAATCCCTGTAGTTCGATAAATTCCAACGTCAGCCTCAGCTTTGTAACCGATTCTTGAATCCAACAAGCCTGCAGAGGAAATCGCCCTGCAAGTCCCAGCGTGGCAATCGACACCGAAATCCATATTTTAGGCACGCCTACGTTTCAAGCACATCGCCGAGGAACATACCGCTGCGCAAACCATGCCGATGTCACCATCGACAACTTCTCCCTCAGAGGCCCAAAATGTTCAGGGCTATCGGTAACGACGACGACCGCCTTTTGAACCGTCGACCTCGTCACATCAGGGGGGCGATTAATCAACGTACTGGCATCGATCTGCCTCGTGCAAGAGATCCCGAAGAGCGAAGTCGCCGGTTGCGAGGGAGTTGCGTCACGCCGGAGTGTAAAGTACGAAAAGTCTTCGGTGGATCTACAGACCAGCTTAACAGTCAGAAGCCGTACCATAGAGTTTTGAGCAAGGAAGGGGCCAGCCAAATCCGAATTGAATGTTGAATGGTATATGGGGTTGTCATACGCATGCGCCCCGTCCGACAACGCCATGAACGGCAATAGCGACCAGTCGTTCTCGGCCGCAGGATTTGTTCCATCGTCTCCAAAACATAACTCGATCTCAGGGCCTCTGCAGAACAATATGAATTATTAGCACGAATTCACCTGTCGTCCCCAGTGCTGTCTCATTGACCTCTCCGGACACAAATAACATGTCTCGTGGAAGCGAAGTAATAAAGATGGAACAGGCAGCACTCACCTAGCATGGTGAAAGTCTATAACCAGGACAACAGGACCCTGGTTGGCAGTGGTTTGTGCCATGACCTAGATCGGTTCGACAGGAGAGTGGAAGACGATGTGGATCGCCTGGTGCAGGCTGACCCTTTTCTGCTTGTCGCTGTCGCGCTCTCTCCTCTGGTACTTTTCACAAAATGCGATTCAACAAGAAGGCTCAAATATGCTGTGTTGCAACCGACTCTTGGTCGCGGACAGCACAGCAAACATTCACTGACCTGATGTAACTGCGCGACCCCGAGCGCGTCCAACCTTGATTGGCTTGGGAGCCAGGGCGGTGAAGTCGTCGGCCATGCTTCACATGCTTGGCATTCGGAGATAGGGCGGGGTGTATCCAGCAAGACAAAAAGTACCTGACACAGCTTTTTCGAAGCAGATTAAATGGATTAATAGGATGGATTAATTGGTTTGCATTATATTCTCTACCACTGGTTGTCAACTGCAAGTCCAAAAATATCCCAGACCCTTATTCATTAATTAGATTCTTCGATCTATTCTTGACGCACACATCATATGAACATAACCAGTCCCACGAAAAGCGCCCTTTCTGCAAACCTGCCCATTCCATCATCCATTTTCATGTAGAAAACAACAAAGTTTAACAGAAGATGTCCCCTCCCTCCTAGATCTTCCCGTCAATAACAGCCGACACGGGCTGTGCCACGAAGAAAGTAGGAGAATTGCGCAGAGTGCAAACTGGGGAGGGGCCGAAAGAAAGGGGGGGAAAAAAAAATACGTGGGCTTTCATGTACATGTCATCTCCGCAGCCAGGCGAAAAAAGGAAAAAAAAAATATAGATCAGATAGCTATCAGATCGTTCTCGCCTAATTTTTCAAAAGGAAAAACAATACAGGGAGCTAGAAACCCCCAACGTGGTCTAGTAGCTCCCTACATCCCATCATCCTTTGTTGTCTGAGCCTAAGAAGGAGGGGGTGCAGGGCCTTGGACCTCGTCCAAGGACGTGACGCTTTGATCGATATTATGGTAATCCAAGATTTCCGAGTACCTGAGAATGCGGCGATTAGTAAATGCCAATATGCAAGACGAATATGCACGCACATCATAATTTTCCAGGTATCCACTGGTAGATCCGCATCGTTAAAAGACCAGTCAAACTTCTCCTCCGCCTCTGGTTCATCGGTCGGATCATGATAAGGTGCCAGGTACTCGTGGGCGAGGGCATCGCCAGCCCGGATTCGCTTCTTTGGGTCGAAAACGAGCATCTTCTCGAGGAGATCGACGGCTGCAGGACGTCAGAACCTAGACACCCCAGTTAACTCAAACTTGGTGACACGCACCTGCAGGATCCGCGTTCTTGAACTTGTTGGCCAATGGTTGCCGCTCGCGCTTTGGCAAGGATTGAACGAATCGTAAGGTCTGCAAGGGGTGGGGGCAGTCAGCTCCTGTTTGTTACGGACGAGAAGCAAGGCAGAGCGGATCTCACATTCTCACTGCAAATGGTCTGGATCACATCATCTGGTGGCGTGCCAAGAAGTTCCGTAATGATGGAGAATTGGTTGACATGGTCCTTTCCTGGGAAGAGCGGTTTTCCATCGAGCATCTCTGCGAATATGCATCCAGCACTCCAAATGTCGACCTCCACGTCGTACTTCTGCCATGTGAGCATGATTTCGGGGGCACGGTAGTATCTCGTCGAGACGTAGCCGGTCATCTGAGGATCTTGAATGCGTGCTAGACCAAAGTCGCAGATCTTGAGGTCACAGTTCTCGTTGATCAGGATGTTGCTGGGCTTGAGATCACGATGCACCACACCGGCCGAGTGAACATATTTCAACCCTCGCTATAAACGGTCAGAGAACAAGCCACCTCGAAATGGGGCGGAGATATGGCCACATACTAATATTTGATAGAGGAAGTATTGAATGAATTGTTTCTCTAGCGGCCGTGACGTGAGGAGTCGGTGCAGATCTGTTCCCAGAAGTTCGGTCACAAAGTAACTGTGAGGGGAAAGTCAATACGCTATGACGGCATGTCGTCGAGGCAGAGCTTCACGTACATATCTTCCAGAGGAGAGATAAATATATCGCTTAAGCTGATCACCTAGCTGCTGTTAGCATAACACCACACCTGCGCTGCAGACCGAGGCCCACCAACATTCTCATGTTTCAGGTGTTTGAGCAGCTTCAGCTCTCTATACGTGCGTTTCGACAGCACCGGAGTGCTGAATGGTTTCATGATCTTCTTTACTGCAACCGGCTGGCCCGTCAATTGGTCTCGCGCCGAGCTTTTCCAATGCACCCTGTCAGTCCCAGTCCTCCGCACAGAACTCGTCGCCAGCTCTTCGCCGAGAAAGCCAGATCCAAACGTACCAGACAAGACCAAAAGCACCCATGCCCACCGGTTGCAGGTCTGTGTACCTGAGTCCCAGTCAACTGACGATTCTGCCACATCATCGACGCAGTGCACCCGGGCCACCCATACCTGGTGGTGATTTCGAAGGTGGTGCCAAAGATCTGGGCACGCACAAACTCCGCCATGGTGAGAAACAGGCGATTCGCACGGGACACAAACCAAGCAGGGGGGTTTTGCGAGGGACAGGAAGCTGGTCGTCTCCGGTACAGCAGTTAGGCGATGCTGATGGGAAGAGAAGATAGATGGGTGTGGGGAAGGAGTGGCGGGAGCCGGAAGAAGGAAAAGCTGGTTGGCGGGTCAGGGTCGGAATGGCAGAGCAAGGGAAGAGCAGGGAATATACGTCTCGGAGGGTGCGGGGATCCTGGCTTTGTTCCCGCAGAACGGAAGAGACCTTTCTCGACTTCTTCGAGAGATCGGGGGAGCTCTTATTTTTTTTTTTCAAGAATGACGTTGACGAGATAGCGCAGTTGGCGAGGGGCCCGGCAGGTGGGCAGATGGCGGGTGACGGCGTGCTGACTGGCGGAATGCTTTTGGCAGGGCGAGACAGAGAGCAGACCGCCCAGGGCGGGGACTCTGACGCTGTCCTGCAGATTGGCTGGAAATGCGCTGCCGCCGACCTGGCAGCGTTAGCAACTTCAGAACCGGCCAGATGGTAGCGGGCGTGTCAATCCAGGGTGCCAAAAGACACTGTGCACGAATGAAATCAACCCACACCGCCAGCATGGGGCTTGTGCCCTGGCCAGCACACCAGTGACACCACGTCTACAATACAGAGAGCATCGCCTCGGACAGCGGTGGAGCGCCCCTTGGGAAACTACGCTGTGCAATGTCCACCGGTGGAGGCTCTCGATAGACTAGACGCCATCGATCGCACGATAACCAGATCCACGATTCGTGGTGAAACGATGCGCGAGGACTAAAGTAGACAAGAATTATGAGATGCAGGAGACGGCGTCGTCAAAGCTCCAAGTAGCTAATTATTACGTGTAGACTGTCGAGTTGTCCTTGCTTAGAGCTTCCCATCAGGGCAAGCTTCGATTCCCACAGAGATATCGCTGCCACGCTCCGTCGTGGATCTCTTGAGGAATTCCACAGAGCAGAAGCATGTTGGCACTCCCTACGTGCTACGAAGACCATCATTGGGCGATGCACTTCACGCCTATCGTGGCCAAGTCGGCCTTGGCCTTCAGGGGCTGAGGCTGAGGCTGGCGCGAGGGAACAGCATTGCTCCGGTCTCCGGACACGTACCTAGCCGAGTAAGGCCTGCGCAGATCGCGAGTCTAATCCTGATAGAGCACCAGGCTGACTGCGCACGAAATCCTAGGGTACGGACTACTCCGGACAGCCCTTGCGCAGGTCATAATACTCGGGGGATGATGGTCGACTCAGGGTTCCCAGGCGCAGTGGCATCGTTTGCTCTCCTTCGCTTCGCTTTCGCCCCCCCCCCCCCCGGTGAGGTTCCAATTGGCCTGCCACACTCCGCAGGCACCGTTTGGTTGCTTCCAGGAGCATGCCGTCATGAATCTAGGACAATCCTCCGGTCCTCGTCCGGCGTTCCCGTGGAGACACGGACGCGCTGGCTGTAAAATGTACAGAGCAGAGGAGAGGAGGATTTCGCCAGCAGGAAGCAGAAGGCCGGGGCTGCCCTTAAATAAATAAAGACGTAGTCCGGCCGGGATCGCGTGTCTGCCTCACAGGCCAGCCGGTGGTCTTCTCGTTGGGGCCACCTGCCAGACAGACGATCGCAGCGATGCTGAAGAACACATGGACGAGGCCGCCCCCATCTCGGCGACGCCTGACGACGAACCACCGCAGGGAGACGCTCGGGCCAGCGGGCGGCGGGACGCGATTGGCTGGCGGCGGGCCTGGGTGGCTCCGCATACCCGCTGCCCACGTGAGGAGTCGCTCCTCTCCGCAATGGCTGACCAAGCCAGCATCGCTGCATCGGCGCGCGACGGACTGGGTTAGCTGATTCCTAATCGCCTCCCCGCGGCCGCTCTCGCGTCTCCAGGCTCAGCTCTCGTAGGCTGGGCAGTCCCCTGGAGAGGCACAGTCGTATCGCATTATTATCTCGCTGTCGTTGAACCCGTACACCTCGCCTGGTGCGGATCAGGCAAACCGGCCGTCCTGAAGTTTGATCTCCTCCCTGTCCTGTCCTGTCCTGCCCTTTTGTCGTCAAGCGCCAACAGCGCCCGCTCCCCCTCGGCAAACCCCCCACAGCCCCCGATAGCACGCCTCAGCCGGCGCCCTGGCGGCCTGGAAGCACTGTCCAGTGTCCACGCTGCTAAGGTTATGTTGTGCTGTGCCCCAGGCAGAGCCTGTCCATGTACCACGCTGCGTGTAATTACTACTACTACCGCCTCTTCCTGCGTCCACCTCTGAGCCTTGCCGCTTCCTCCTTCGCCCACCCTCCTCTTGCTGTCCTCCAGCTCCTGTTCCTCTGGCCTCAGCCCTCAGGTCTCCCTGCTTGAGCCTGCATCTACGTCCTGCACGGCCTGAGGAGTAAGGACGGCAACATCAGCCTCCCTTCAGCTCTCCCCACGCTGCCGTCGGGGAACGCACCTGGATCGCCGGCCTCAAGCTTCTATCTCGCCCCGGTCCCTCCCAACTTCGGACGCTCCTAATCGTCGCATCTTGTCCACAACCGTCGACAAGATATCACGCTTCTCTCATTCTGCCGTTTCTCGGACGATTGCGATTCTCCCCTCCGTGGCGATTCACTGCCGCCATCCCGTTCAACGTGGACGCCCAGCTCGAGGTCGCTCCCGCTGTCGTGTCGTCAGCGCTGCATTCCGCCGCCGACGTTGCGACCAGACACAGCCCGACTGAATCGATCTCGTTCCGACCGCCGTCGTCAGTTCACAGTCGACTCATCTAGCTTCGAGCGCCACGATATTTGCGGCCCTGTGCCCTCGTGGCTGGCCCCCGGTGCTTCCGTTTACGCCTGTCGGGGCGCTAGTCGACTTCTTTGTTGACGGTTTGGCCGTATTGCAGCTGAACCCGGACTATTCTCATCCATCATCTATTCTTCGAATCGCCGATCGGAAGTTTGAACGTGGGAAAAATTCGTGAATCGGAAGAGTCCCCAAAGATTCATCCAATATGGGTGCGTGTCTCAGCTCCGAGTCCGGTGTGGACTTAGAAGGGAAGAAGAGGAGTCAGATGATCGATAAGAAATTGGAGGAAGATTCAAGGCGACTACGCAGAGAATGCAAAATCCTACTTCTGGGTATGTGACGAATATGATAGCCTGTCTCGGTTCATTGGGGCTGACTTTGGCTAACCTGCCCAGGATCCGGCGAAAGCGGCAAGTCAACGATCGTCAAACAGATGAAGATTATCCACCAAAATGGGTACTCGGTCGAAGAGCTCGCCTTATACCGTCTGACCGTATACAAGAACCTCATGGACTGCGCGAAGGCGCTGATTGGGGCCTACCACCAGTTTGACCTGGAGCCGTCCAGCCAGAAAGTGCGGGATTATATCACCTTCCTCCTGGAATACAATATCGATCCCGACCCAAATACCCCTCTCGACCCCAAAGTCGGGGATGCCGTGACATACCTTTGGAACGATCCATGTACTTCGACGGTCCTGGAACATCAAAGCGAATTCTATCTGATGGATTCCGCACCATAGTAAGTGGTGTGTGTCTGCTCTGATCAGCGGATGAAGGCTAATGGCATCGAAACAGCTTCTTTGAACATGCGAAGCGAATAGCAGAGCCGGATTACATTCCCAATGAAGCCGACGTGCTCCGCGCCAGAACGAAAACGACGGGTATATACGAGACGCGCTTCACGATGGGCCAACTCAGCATTCAGTGCGTCTTCGCATCCTCTCGAGAAACATGACTTGTTACTGACGCAGGTCGACAGTATGTTTGATGTCGGAGGGCAACGAAGCGAACGCAAGAAGTGGATCCATTGCTTCGAAAACGTCACGTCCATTATTTTCTGTGTCGCGTTGAGTGAATATGATCAGGTCTTGTTGGAAGAGAGTAATCAGGTATGCCTAACCTCGAACGTGGTTGGTCTCCAGAGTCACTGATCTTTTTTTTTTTCACTTCCAAAGAACCGAATGATGGAGAGCCTAGTGCTTTTCGACTCGGTCGTCAATTCGCGATGGTTCATGCGCACCAGCATTATTCTTTTCCTGAATAAAGTCGATCTGTTCCGCCAGAAACTGAGCCGCTCGCCGTTGAGTAACTACTTCCCCGACTATTCCGGAGGCAATGATGTGAACCGAGCCGCCAAGTATCTATTATGGAGGTTTAACCAGGTCAATCGCGCACATCTTAATCTATACCCTCAGTAAGTACTCGCCCCACCAGGTGGCATCTAGAGCAGTCACTGATCCGCCGCACTTATAGTCTCACCCAGGCTACCGATACAACAAACATCCGCCTGGTGTTTGCCGCGGTGAAAGAGACCATCCTACAGAATGCCCTTAAAGATTCCGGTATTCTATAACCTCAGACATCTGTTCGTGGTTCGATCCAGTTGGCATGCAGATTTTTTTTTCCCCCACCCCTTTTCCTCCTTTCCGTTCCAGCGCGGTTCCTTTCTCCATTTTCTCTAATGCTTTCTGCCGGTCATCGCCCTTATTCTGGTTACCTTTCAACGCAGCCATCTAATGACTTGACTACCCAAATATTCTTGCTGGTTTTTCTTTGCGTGGAAATTGAGACGGCGTTCATGGGGGCGGCATCATCTAACACTTTTCTTATTGTTTTTGGGCGCTTTGATGTGGCATATATCTGGGTATGCAGAAATGCCGTATGTTTTGATATGTGATTTTTCTTTGCGATCGCTGTTCATTCATATCTGGCCTGTGAGGCCCAATTCTTTCCACCCTTGTGATTCTTCCCAGATTTCCCTTGCCGCTTGGGAGTGCTTTCTCGTTCATCGCTTTGGGGGCAAAAGTTGCTGGCACATTGAGTTTCTTTCTCTTATTGTTTTTCTTTTCTATTTTTCTCTTCGCGCATTGGATGATGATGAAGGGCTTGGACCAGGCCTAACTTTTTTTATCAAGAAGAATTTTTCCTCGCCAGTTTCTTTATACTTTCATATTTTTTTTCTATCCTTCTTTTCTTACGTTTATCTTTTTCGCGTCCTTTTTTTTGCATTTATGTTGATCGACATGTCAGCGATGGAGAGAGGGAGGCGGCCGTCTTCTCCCGGCTTCGTTCATCCGTGTTTTGGTTTGGGTCGGTTATGCCGCCTTGTACGCATAATTGAGATTTTTTTTTCTATATTAGCGTCTTGTCTTCGTACTTGGTCTCCTTCTCAGATGTGGCCCTCACATGGGAGCTGCACTTGGGCCCAAAGCCGTAAATCGTGCCTGCCAGTGCAGCAGAATCATTCCGGTGTACTATACTAAGTGCTATACTACTAATTTAGTTACGATATTTTTCTCTACAGATGGGGAAGTAGACTTTCGTCAAGCTTCGCATCAGGATTTTGAAACGGACAGCCCCGGTTTCTTTTTTTCTGATCCTTCGGGTAGATTCCCGTAGGATTACGCTTGATCTTCCTCTGCCCACTCCCTATCTACCGATGGTGGTTCATTCAATAGGCGACCTAAATACCTAAAATTGTCAATTAGCACAGCCATGCCCAGCTGAAACTGATTAGATTCCAATGCCACTGAATTCGTATTTCTTTATTCAATGGCAGTGCTGCGGTGGCAGGCTGTGCTGAGAAACGCGAGTTGTCAACAATTTTGGCCCGGGAAGATCCGCCCCCAGGAGCCAGCTGGACCTGCAGCAAACTCGAAACAGAACAAAAAAAAACGTGGCAATGTGAGTTATTTTGGGCAGCCTGAGGCCTGAGGCTTTTTGGGGCCATTCATTCAAGACTCAAGTGGATCCGTCAATAATGCCAGTCCTGCACGAATTATCCTCCCCAATGATCCAATCTATACTCTGTAGGGGCAGGAGGGCAGCTAGGGCTCCCCAACTTCCCAGCCCCATCGGACGGGGGGATTTACGATTCCCATGCCTGTCTTGTCTATCACGCGATTCACACGGGTTTTTTTTTAAGGCGATTTAAGCCCGGAATCTATTTTTCTTGGCGTCATTGCCGGATTGAGTATCGTGACGTCGTCCAAGTCGCTTGATCGGAAGGCGGCGGGAAGCATGCTTCTCCTGGCTTGCACTGGACAAGACAAGAGTCACGGACACACTATTATTAGTCTATTACTTCAAGATAGTAATAGTAATAGTGGAGAATCCAACACCCCAAAGTCCGTTGCTGTCTCGTATCAAGTTTGGTTTTTTCGTGCTCGTGTTTTTTGCACGCCATGCATAAGTGATGAATCCTTGGGCGCTAGCCTAATCTTATCTGAGCAGGACTAAATGTTGATGGCGGCCACGTGTTGGATTGTACTGTATAGTACATACCTAGGTACAGTACATGTATTCAATGCGAGCTTTTGATATATGGAATACTTGTATGTTATATATCTACATTCCATATATCAAACGCTCACGTTTAAGGTGGTGAATCTACAGCCGCGCAGCGAATGTATGTACAGTACAGTACTATAGATAGGTAAAGAGTCACCATTTGTCCCCTCAGTGTTCGGCAATTGCCATGATTTGGGTGGCAGGGGTGATTGCCTGTAGATAACGATTGAAATTTAATTAATCCATGCGAGAGTAGGACCAGCAGGGGTCGTCTCCCTGGTGGCGGCCGGTTTCGACCATTTCTGGCCCAGATCTATCCATGGGTCCGATCGACCCCGCGGTAGTAAGTAGGTAGTAGTGGCGCTGGATGATGAAGAGTGCCTGCCCAACAGGTAGTCTTCGAAATAGGAACCAACATGTCGAAATGCACAGGTAAGCCTGGGATTCGTCGGAGGGTATAACGGAGGCACGACATACGGTATCGATCCTTTTTTGATCACGATTCACCCCCGCAGAGACTGAACGTCTAGACCCCTGGTCACGCTGCCCCGCCTTCTTAGTCATGCTGTCAGGTGAGGTAAACATCGACCAGGTACAAGGTGCTCGCATCCATGGATGTGCCTGTCGACTGCTCTGTCCAGACAAAGACGGCCGGACTGGCAACGAATCACACTGCCAGCATGATGCTACATGGCTTTCTCTTTTCTTGTTTTTCTCCAAGCTTCACCCCTGGCCGCTGGACGAGCTGTTGGCATCATGGGAACCCCTCATGAGCCAACCCCTGTTCTCTCTTCTTTCACCAGCAGCCCTTCACTGAATGAGGCGCCGACACACGCCTCGCAATTTCTCATCTGACTTGAACTGGACACAGTAATTGGCAGCCACCCCTCCCCGTGTTGGACGGTCTTTCTCAATCCGGGTTCGAGGCAAGCAATGAATGCTTCGACCAACCTGTTCCTTGGCTTACCTTAGGCTCTTGAACGCCTCATAGCTGTCAACTGAATGAGACTCTGTGCGACGCTACATTTCTCTCCTGCTATTGCTGTAGAAGCTGTATCGTAGCGCCTCTACTATTCCCTCCTGGTTGCGTTGATCCGCAGCATTAGACATTCTGTCCGATTCTTTGTTGTTGGCGCTTGCTCTCCTATTCGAAGCCTTCACCACCACGAAGAAACAGCGACCTGCGACATCCGTGCACGATTCTTGACTCCCTGCAGCGGTGCAACGTTACTCTCGGTAGATATTCCGTTATATGTGGATACTGCTTCTATCTAACAAACACCGAGAGAATCAATTATACACTGAGTCAATCTTTCAGCTGCAGTCATGTCCTCCAAGCCTCTGTCTCGCGAGCGCAGACCCTCCGTCGGTGCCCCCATTTCCGACCTCCAAGGGCCCGTGGGACCGGGTTTCAGTCGTCCCAAGCACAAGCGGACCTTCACTGGGTTCGGACCGGCTGAGATCAACGCAGTCGAGGCCAGTATTCCGGAACCGCTGAGGGAGGCGTAAGTCGGACAAGAACGGACATTTCTTCTGTGAATAATCAGTTAGATTTCTGACCGTTCTTACAGGTGGCAGAAACATGTACGACCCTCCCATTCCCTCTACCGCTCGTGCTATACCTCGATCGTCGGGATGGCAGTTGAGAAGCCGAGGTGACGTTAATCTTAATCATATGAAATCGTAGTCCGCGAAAAGTTTCCAGAACAAGGAAGAATTCGAGGTATGCTTACAGCCAAGAGCCGCACAACTATGCGCTGTTTCTGATTGTCCCCTGGTCTGGGGTAGCATGAATTCATTCGCCATGTTGAGACCACCCTGGCGCGCTCGCTCTTCAATTGCGATGAGTCGTATGTCACGCTTTCACCTGTCTTCCGGCGTAAGAATTGAGACAGATACTCAATATGACATTCAATTTAGGGCGGCATATGCAGGAACTGCTCTGGCCTTCCGAGACCGGCTGATTATTGAATGGAACAAGACGCAGCAGCGTCAGACATTTGCAGACCAGAAGCGCGTGTATTGTACGGTGCTGGGAACATCACTGTTGTCATGAAAGTAAACTTCGGACACTGACATTCTTGTCTATTGCTCAGACCTTTCCCTCGAATTTCTAATGGGTCGAGCACTCGATAATGCCATGCTGAACGTTGGCTTGAAAGATGTCGCGCAAGGTACATACATACATAACTTAGTCTACGCACCTGCCCATTACCATAAAGGTTCAGCACGCTGATAAGGCATTCTAGATGGCTTGTCTGAGCTTGGTTTCCGCGTCGAGGACGTGATTAATCAGGAACATGATGCGGCCCTTGGGAATGGCGGGTTGGGACGCCTCGCCGCGTGCTTCCTTGACAGTCTGGCGACTCTGAATTATCCAGCCTGGGGTTATGGCCTGCGCTACCGCTATGGAATATTCAAACAGGAAATCATCGATGGTTACCAGGTCGAGATCCCCGATTACTGGCTGGATTTTAATCCCTGGGAATTCCCACGCCACGATATCACCGTGGACATCCAATTCTACGGCCATGTCATCAGATACCAAGATGAGTATGGAAAGACAGTCAACTCCTGGCAGGGCGGCGAAACTGTCCAGGCTGTGGCATACGATGTTCCAATCCCCGGATATGGCACAAAGACGACGAACAACCTCCGTTTGTGGTCTAGCAAAGCCACCAGTGGCGAGTTCGATTTCCAGAAGTTCAATGCCGGTGACTATGAAAGTGCTGTTGCGGACCAGCAGCGGGCAGAAACCATTTCTGCTGTGCTGTATCCAAATGATAATCTTGAACGGGGCAAGGAGCTCCGTTTGAAACAGCAGTACTTCTGGTGTGCAGCATCCTTGTACGATATTGTGCGCAGGTTCAAGAAGACTAGGCGTGCCTGGAGGGAATTCCCTGATCAAGTTGCGATCCAGCTCAACGATACTCACCCGACGCTTGCCATCGTCGAGCTGCAGCGCATCCTGGTCGACCTAGAAGGTCTTGACTGGGACGAAGCCTGGCACATCGTCACCCACACCTTCGGCTACACAAACCACACGGTCTTGCCGGAAGCGTTAGAGAAGTGGTCGGTGCCTTTGATGCAGAATCTGCTGCCTCGGCATCTGCAAATCATCTATGATATCAATCTGTTCTTCCTACAGTCCGTCGAAAAGAGATTCCCAGAGGATCGAGATATGTTGGCCCGCGTCTCGGTGATCGAAGAGTCGCATCCGAAGATGGTTCGAATGGCACATCTGGCAATCATCGGATCTCATAAGGTGAACGGAGTGGCGGAGCTGCATTCCGACCTGATCAAGACGACGATCTTCAAAGACTTTGTTGCCATATACGGGCCAGACAAGTTCACCAATGTCACCAACGGCATCACTCCGAGACGGTGGCTCCACCAAGCGAATCCACGATTGTCGGACCTCATCGCTTCGAAACTGGGTGGCTTTGAGTTCTTGAAAGATCTGACTCTGCTCGATCAGCTGGAATCCTTTGTCGACGACAAGGCCTTCCGGAGCGAGTGGGCAGAGATCAAATATGCGAACAAGATTCGCCTTGCCAAACTTATCAAGGATACCACCGGATACAGCGTGAACCCCAGGGCCCTGTTTGATGTGCAAGTCAAGCGCATCCACGAGTACAAGCGGCAGCAGCTCAACATCTTCGGCGTTATCCATCGATACCTGAAGATCAAATCGCTGAGCCCGGAAGAGTGTCAGAAATTGGTTCCCCGGGTATCGATTTTTGGAGGCAAGGCGGCGCCGGGGTACTGGATGGCGAAGACGATCATCCATCTGATCAACAACGTCGCCGCCGTGATTAACAAGGACGCCGATGTGGGCGATCTGCTCAAGGTCATCTTTATTGAGGATTACAACGTCAGCAAGGCGGAGATCATCTGTCCTGCGTCGGACATCAGTGAACACATCTCGACTGCCGGCACGGAGGCCAGCGGGACGAGCAACATGAAGTTTGTTCTCAACGGAGGTCTCATTATCGGGACGTGTGACGGTGCCAATGTAAGTCCATTCAGGAAGAAGAGAGTTCACGACGAGGATGGCTCCTTTTTTTCTGACTATGTATATGTGTCATAGATCGAAATCACCCGCGAGATCGGTGAACAGAACATCTTCCTCTTCGGTACCCTCGCCGAGGATGTTGAAGAGATCCGACACCGCCACCGCTACGACGGCTTCAGGCTAGACGAGAACCTAGCCCGGGTATTCGAGGAGATCCAGAAGGGCACATTCGGCGACGCAGACGATTTCTCCGCGCTGATCTCGTCCATCACGGACCACGGCGACTACTATCTGGTGTCGGACGACTTCCACTCGTACCTCACGACACAGGAGTTGGTCGACGAGGCGTTCCAGGACCAGGACGAGTGGATCGCCAAGTCCATCACGAGCGTGGCGCGCATGGGCTTCTTCTCCACGGACCGGGTCATCAACGAGTATGCCGACAGTATCTGGAATGTTGAGCCTCTGCCGGAGGAGTAATCACATGTATATAATAAATAAATACCTTTTTTTTTCCCCTTTTCTTTCATATTTCTCATTCTGTCTAGCTTATATGTACGTCTCTTTAGCCAGCTATACACAGTAGTTGTCCTTACTATACATATCTGATACTCACAGGTCGACAAATATGACAGGCAGTCTTCTCTTCTTACAGATAGGATGGATAAATGAACCGATCGATATACTATAGTTGTCATGAAGAGATTTCTTTTCTTTCCTTTGTCAAAGAAAAAACAAAAACAAAATGTTAAAGCATGTAACTCATTAACATTGCCATTGCCATTGTTCATGCTCACAGCAATAGGTATCATTATTACAGCCACTAAGATAAGAAAGAAGATAGTTACAACCTAGAACTATGCCCTTCGTTTGTTTGTTTGCTTGCTTTGTCTTTTCTGGACGGGCAAGGTCCGCCTGTTTTTTTGTCTTTGGCTTTTGCCTCCATGGAGAGTTTGATGGGTCTGGGGGAGTGCATATGCCATGGAACCAATTAACAACCCTACATGCATCCCGTCTCGCCTTGGGAAGAGAGTATCATTCGTCATCAACAAAACAGCATGAGCATGAAGATAGAAGGAAATAAAAGAAAAGCAACAGATTCATTTATCCCACCCGGCCAGGCTTCCTCGATGCAGGGAGCAATTGGAAAATCCATCAGAGTTACCTCACCCGTCACCCCATCTCAATCGAGTTAGCGGAGGAAGTCGAATTTTGAAACATCACCTAAATGCTTCAGCATCACAATCATGATTGTAAGGAAAAAAAAAATGAGGCGTAAATGGTTCATGCAATGTAAGCCAGCTCATCCCCATCCAATCGTTCAATGTAATCCTTCTCCATAAGGGCTTCGATGTTCTTCTTAATATCCGGTATCTTAGGAGGAAACCGTGCCTTCACCTGGTTGATGACCTCCTGGACTAGCTGGACGTGTTTCATCTTCTTGCGGGATTTCATAATACGGACAATCGCAGACTGAAATCAAAAGTTAGTCTCGTCAAGATATCGAATGAATGCAAAACTTTCGACTGAGCATACCTGTAGAAGCAGTTTCCGGTCCTCCTCGATCGTCTTGTGGGTGTCGTCGGATTCATGCTTCTGTTCCGACTTGATCTGGATGTTGAGGTTGACTTTGATCTTCTTATTCTTGAAGTTGTGGTTCAGACTGAAAGACACGCCCGGCGCTGGCTTGGCTCCTTCGGGGTTGGCTAGCAGCACCTTCGCCTTGAGAAGAATGCTCATGTTCGGTTCAAGAACCTCGTTCGACAACTTGGTGGCCTTCTGAATCTCCGAGTATTCCAGCGTGTCATGTTCGTTGTAAAGAAGCAAGATTCCCATCTGAAACGTTGACACTTGGAACGTGTAGGGAACCTTGGTGTTCTTGATGTAGTTGGCCTTGATTTCACCCTTGCACAGCTGCCACAGCCATGTCAACTTGCGACCACTGTGCTTATCGAAGTAAAAGCTCTGGAACCGTTCGGCTGTCCTGACAATCTCGGGCGGGGGAATGAATTCCGTCGAGGGCGGGTTGAGAGGCCAGAATCCTGTTCCCAGGATCTGGAAATGCGGATCCACCATCTTCTTCCGGTCTTCCTCATCCAAGACTTTATCCTGCCAGTCCCGATAAGCGGCGTTGAGATCCTTGGAGATCTGGATGTCCTGGAACATGCGCTGCAGCTTGTTCGTGTATTCAAACCCACACGCCTCTTTCAGCTTACTGATCATGCTGGTCTCTGCATCGTCCGAGACGGAACTAACGTGCACCAGGCGCTTCGCAAGCATCTTGGAGTAGAACTTCTGGAACACATCCTTATCCTCAATGTACTTGAAGACCGTCATGATCTGGCCTAGCATCTCCTCCAATTCCGATTCCTCCGCGGCCTTACCGCCTTTCTTGAGTAATGAGTCGGTGTATCGTGCCAACAGCTCGGGCGACTTCGTGGAACTCGTCTTGCAGATCTGGTTGCGGTTGACGAACTCGCGGCAGGCGTTGTCCAAAGACCGGACAAACTCTGATTCTCCTGCAAATGCCACGTTCACCAGGTTCTGGTATCGCGAGTGGACCTGCAGCAGCGCATCCACGTACGTCTTGGGCTCAAACTGGTCTCCTTCCGCCGCCACCTTTTCGACGGCAGCCAACCCGGCCTTTCGGACATGGGTCTCAAATTTCGCCCGGAGCGGATCCAATCCATCCTTGATCTTCGACAGGAGGCGGTACATCCGAGCCAGATCGTCCTGTCGTTCGTTGTCCAAGAGGACCTGGAATTCGTCACGCAGGAGACCAGAATGCGCGGTGACGAGAACATCCAAACACGTCTCGGTAAGACGCTTGGTGATGTCAGGATGCAGGTACAGTCCCACTCGGGCCTTCTCTTCCTCCAGACGAGACTCGGCCTTCTTCATGTATTCCACAACACTGTTCTCCGCGACAAACTGTCGGGACTCGTTTTCGTAGTAGACCCGGGTGGCCTCGATGAAGGGCCGCTCGAAATAGTACCGGTACACCTCCAAAGTCGACTTAGTGCTGTCGTTCTCATCCAGACCCAATGACACGTACGAATCGACGATGTTTTTGATCTGCGACTGCTCGATCGTCTCGCCGTTCCGTTGTTTCTCCACCAGATTCAGCACTGCGGCCATGACCTTCTCCTGAACCTTCTTGAAGAAGTCCTCCCGCCACTTAACCAGATGAAGCGTGTAGACATCGTAGATATTTTTCTTCCCTTCATCGATCTCCCTCTTCACCCAGTGTCGATTGAGGTATCGGAAAAGGTGATTGATGTATTTTGCGGCGGTTGTGTATCGATCCCACTCCCGGATATAGAATCCTAAGAGTGCCTCCTCAGCGTGGGTTTCGGAAGCTTTGTAGACATTTTCAAGATGGCGTGACAAGTATTGACCGAGAAGGTTGTAGAGTTCTTCGCCGAGGAGATGCGCTATCAACACGAGGAAGCTGTCAGCGGCTGATCACACGTTCCAAGTAAGAAGAGAAGACGAAGCACATACCGCCTCGGTGAGCTTGCAAGCCTCCATTGCTCACAGCCTTTTGAGACGTGCAGAAGTTGTGTACCGCCCTACACAATGTCAGCTGGATTCGCAGACCGGAGGTACGGGAGACACGAACGTGTAGAGAGCCATGTACTATATAGTAGTAAAACTGGTTGTCAGTACCGCCCAAAACGTGACAAGACCAGATCAGAGAACACGTACGGTCTTCATATCAACACCCTCCTCCAGCTTGAGCATCACACTGTCGATGCCCCTCTCCAAGAATGTCCATCTGCAATTATTAACCACTGGTCAGCTTCGAGCATCATGCCGAAAGCAAGATCCCAACTCCTAACACATTTGTGAACGCCATTCCACGGAAACTTACGTTTCGTCGAGGTCATCCTTGTGAGGGGTTACCGGCATCGCAGTAGGCATGGTCGACTTCCGGAGACGATTCGACCGGCGGAGAAGACCAGCGGGAGCTGATGAGACTTCGGAGGTCAGATCCTTATTCTTCATGGTGTGTGCAGCGATGTGGGGGTTCGAGAAAGGAAAAGAGTGTGTTTCAAGAAGCCCAGGCCAAGTCGACAGAAGCAAGAAGTCAAAAACAGACAGCTGGAGTGCAGATACGACAGGGACTCGGATGGATAGAAAAGGCCACAGGTAAACAAGCACTGGGAGAGTTTTGATCAAGCGGGCCGGCGGAGACGCATGCACACGTACGTGCCGCGAGTTACCTGACAAACAGCAGAAGCTTGCCAACGTGATCAGATTGTGACGGTTTGGGTTGCAGGGAAGGGAACCATGGCGACCATGGTGAAGGTTGCCAACCGCCGAGATATGACAGGCACACCGCACCAGGGCCGGAACGTTCCACCAGACGCGATAAAATCAAAGGAGGGCAGGGCAGCCATGGGATGGGATGGATATGGGGGTAATGCAGTGGTTATTCTCATACTCACTAGATCACAGATCAGCTCAGACACCGGAGTGTCTGCTGGAGACGCTCGTTCAAGACGAAACGAGAAGAGAGCAGGACGTAGCTGCAGCGGGGAGGGTTGGGAGGATGGCAGGGGAGAAAGGAGCGCGGAAGAGGGAAGAGATAAAATGTAGACTAAGGATGGCGGTGACAGTAACGAGCAGTCGGTAGGAGGGAGGTTCAGATAGTAATGCAAGTTAAGCTAGGCATGCACGCAGCGCGGGAGTAGCGATGGGGGAGCGGGCGGCGGAATGAGTTCTGGGGCTCTGGACGGAGAGGCGGTTGTTGCCTTTGCCAATCCACGGCTTGCCCGCTTGAGTTAGGCAGATCTCTCGCGCCGCCCGTTGGCGGTCTGGCGGCAGTGACGTGACAGGTGACTGTGCCACCACCGCCCTGTGGCTGCCTGGCAGTTTTTGCCTGAAGAATAATCGTCACACAGAATAAAAAATAATTTCCGAGGACTCTCCAGAGATACTACAGTTTTAGAGGGCGTTGAGTCTTCTAAAGTGCTGGCGATCGCTGAACGGAACCTTATCAGAACTCAACACTACCTGCAAGTGGACAGATAATTACAGTACATTACATAGACAGACCCAACAGAAGTAAACGCTCCCAAGTGGGATTCAATTTGATATGCGTATGCCATGGCTATCTCTATAGATAAAAAAATAATACTGTGGATAGGGGCCATAAGACCAGAGTTATCTTAAATTACACCCCTGTACGCGTAACTCAGAGGCTGTTGCAGGTTGTGTGTGCTTGCTCAGAGACGCACCAGATGACGTCATTCCTTGGTTGTTTGTACTGAACGTCTGATAGTCTCCAGGAACGTGTAAGTATCGCTTCTCTGCTCTCCATCTTGGAAATAAACAGTGAAATCCATATAATCTCCTATCCTGTGGATCTTCCAGGGCCAGGACGCTAAACAACGACTCAGCTGACAAACCATGTGACCTAGATACAGGGAAGTGCCGTGCGGCAGAGAGGTACCTGACAGACTCGAGATAGACGTCCACAACAGAAAAGAAAAGAGACATCCCGCATCGAAAAGAGCCAACAACGAAGACAAAAAAAAGAAAGAAAGACAGAAAGAAGGAAGAACCAAAGATGTCCTTCCGCCCAGCCTCCGAAATCCAAATTAGTCGACATTTGATCCCCGCCTGGCGTCGCCTCCCCAACACATCCATCCAAAACAAGCCCCTGCTGATCTACCACTCCGCCTTTAACGCTTCCGCTGCTCAGCTCTCCGCCCGCCTCGATGAAGTCGGCGTTGTTGTTCCCCAGTGGCAGTACACCATGTATCGCCAGACACACTTCCACTCGACCACCCACGAGATCCTGGGCGTCATCTCCGGCCGCGCGCGTCTCTGCTTCGGGGGGGAAGAGAATCCCGGCCGGGTCGAGACTATTGTCGAGCAAGGCGATCTGATGATTCTTCCCGCAGGGGTTGCCCACCGCCTGTTGGAGGATTTGAGTGGTGGCCGGTTCAAGATGTTGGGGTCGTATCCACGAGGGAAGAGCTGGGACATGTGCTACGGGGCCGATAACGAGAACGAAGAAGAACTGAGGAAGAACATCGAGATGCAGGGATGGTTTGACCAAGATCCACTGTATGGAAAGGATGGCCCTGCCGTGCACGTCTGATTCGATGGCACGAAATGTTACATCCATTAATAAGTACAGTATCATAATTTAGTCATTATTGCAGATCATGTGCGCATCCAGTTACTGTGCATGGATGACTGCTAGAGGCCAATTACCCATAATCACCCTATCCAAAACTGCAGTATAAACAAGAGACAAAAAAAAGCATTATACAGTACAATAGAAAGGACGTATGGTTGCAAAGCAGCACTCCAGAGGTCAACCCTGTGACCTCCACATTCCGTCCATATGACCAACCGTTTAGACGCCATTCGTAACCGTCAGTACCAAGCAAAAAAAGGTAAGCAATAAAAGAAGCCGGGAGGGTGTCTCATTTCGAAGCCACTCTCTCCACCAGTCTGAACATCGAGAACAAGAGATGGTCAGCATATTCTTTCAATCCGAGAGGAGCGGAGACGGCTTACCGGAATACACTGATCGTGAAGGTTAAGAGCCATGCGATCAACGCAATGAGCAGGACCGACGCAAGCGCCGTCTGCCAATCACAGATCGTGTCGTTCTTTGCGTCAAGGTGATGGTTGATGACGGAATTGGTACACGAACCCTGGACATCGGACAGGGACGCGAAGGCGAGACTCAGGTTGGCAGAATCGAAGACAATGAAGAAGATATCCAACAGTATCAGTCGCATTTTGGCCTTGGGAGACCGGAGCCCCAAGGGCTTCCCCGTGTATTCATCATAGGTGATGTACACCAAATAGACCAGGGCTACAGCATCGACAATGATTGCCATGTCAGCAGAAGGACCTTGAGGGCGACTGTATATCTGCGAAAGATGATGGATCGAGCCCCCCAGCGCCAGCGCACACAAGGAGAAGATCCACACCGTAAGCCGGAACACGAGCGGAACGATAGGACTCTTCAACAAGTTAGACTGCAAACGCCCAATCCAAGTTCGACGCCTTGCACGCCATCTAGTTTCCCGGACGCCCTGTTCGGCGTCAGAGCCGTCATTTGTCGAGTTCCAAGGATTCGAATAGTCCCCTAGGTTCTCGTTCAGCCAATCCCAGGTCACCGGCTTCTCCTCCAGGGAGCTTGTAGTGCGAGGATACGCGACAGATCTGGCAAATCTTATCCAGCGGGACACCCGGAATCCCGTCGCGGGGTCAATCTGATCCTCGTGCTCTTGTCCAGCTTGGTCCAAAGACGGTTTCTGCTTTGCGTAGGGCGAGTGATTATGCTGGGCCACGACGGCATCGTCAAGCTCGGAGGGTAGGAGCCTGGTGGTCGCATCGCTCTCATCCTCAGGTATCTCTACAGATCGAATCCATGCTACAATAAAGCGATTTGGAGTTAGCATCTATACTAGCTAGATATCTAAGACACTTGTGCGCCTGACGTCTACTTACCTGGCAAGGTCCGAACGGCCGGTGTCGACGGCCGGTCATGCGCCGAGTTCTCCGCAGACGCCAAAGGCTGTGAGGACTGTGAATGACTGGTTGAAGATGTCACAGTCCCTCGGCGAGGCTCCTGCGATCGAGATTCACCTTCAAGGGTGGTGTCTGACGAAGAGTGGCCGGCGGGGTCTGTTGTCGGTTGAGATGCTGGATCTTGCGCATCTTGGGCCATTGCCTGCTGTTAATAAGAAATCGTGTCCTCTAGATGATATGTGCCATGATATACGGCCACCCAATGAAGGTGTTGATATTGACGCTGTCCACGAAAGCTCGAGACCCCTGCGGAGAGGGCGGCGCAGTGCTTGGCGGGACGTCGTCACCATGTTAACGATACTCCGGAGTAGGCAGGATTTAAAGTTAACCGATTAACCAAGCCTGGAACACGGCGATCCCCGTAATAAGAATCGAGCCTCTTCTGGCGGCGCTGCTGCTTTTCCGGATTCCGGCCTGCAGCTTTGGCCAGTCGAATGACGTCTATCGCACATGTGTCATCGTTTCGGCCTCAGACGCTTTCCCTAGCACCAAGGCTCACTCTCATGCTGGCAAGCTGGCCTTTGCACCGATCTTCACTCCCGTGAATGAGCCTGCAGAAAGCATGTCACCTATTACAGCCTCCTTTTCCGTCGCGTTTTCTGTGAGATAGGGAAGCCTTCCTCATTGACCCTCCTTCCCCCAGCCTTCGCCCACGGCCGTTGCTATGCGTCTATTCCTCGTCCCCATTTCAACGAGACGCGCTTTCGTATACTGCCGATCCCCCAACGTCTTGAACGCGTCGCTCCTGGACAAGGTTACGGCCAAGGCAGCTGAAACCTGGGAGAAATGGGAGCGAGCCGATAAAGGGTGGAGGAAAACCCTCGTGTCCTATGGCCATGTTGTTCTCCAGCGGATTCCCTATGAAGAGTGGGGTTTGAAGAGTATCCCTCCTCTGAGCGCACAGCGCCAGATCGAGGAAACTCGCGAGAGAAAACCGGTTGATGTGGTGTTTCCGAGAAATGCAATCAAGCCGGAAAATGTGCTGGGTATTCTGAGCAAGCTAGGCACGGAGAGACAGGATCATCATCGCAGAAAGCTGTGGTGGAGCATCGGGCTTGCCCCTCTGACCTTGCCCATTGCAGTGATACCATTGTAAGGTGTCCCAAAGTTCACATTGCTAGGGCGCAGCAGGGGAGACTTGATCTAATTGTTTCATTGCACCAGGGTGCCCAATATCCCTTTCTTCTATTTAGCCTACCGAGGTTGGTCGCACTGGCGAGGTGAGTGTTGTGCCCTGTAGATCAATTATGTCATTTCATGGGACTCACCAATGTGCAGCTCTAAGCGGCTCAAGGCACCTGGTTTATTTACATGAGAAGGGGCTTTTGCACCCTCAATCCTCTCCAGAGCTCGAGAATTTCTATTCTAAACGTCTCATCTCTGGTAGACAAGAGCATGGGAATGAAAAGTCGGTCGTGCCTTTAGGGGAAGAGGATACAGAGGAGAGGCTGCTCCTCGAAGAGTCAGATGGGAAGGAATTGGGCGAGATATTGGGGGCTCCAGAGATCGCAATTGAAGTGGAACGCGCTGTTGTTCAAATACGGCAGAAGCTGCATTCTGAGCAAGATGCATCTGTCCAAGGAAAAGGAACGCGCGGGTCTAATACTTCGAAAGAGAAGGAGTTATGAAGAGGATTTGACTCATGTTAATCCTCCCATTAATGGGCCTTACCACTTCAGTCATTTGACTCATTCCTACAGTGATACCCAAAACTCCTTTTGAATTTCTTCCCATGCAAATGGGAAAATGCATACGCGGTTGAGGGCTGGTTCCATTTTGTTCGTTGATTGAAAGAAACTTGACAGCTTTTCATGCTGTTTCTGTATAATAGTCACATAGAGCTCATCTCATTACACATAAAAATATCTCTTTACGCATCCAAGCATAGTATAGTATTGACTTGTGTTCTAGGTAGATCCGATCACACTTGCTAACTCGTACTCGAAGATCTGCAGCAACTAGTTTGTTCATTTTCTTTGTCATTGCGGGCAATTAGGATCCTTCCTTCCAGATACCCTGCTAGGAAAATGCGTAATTTCTAAAAATGGAAATAAAACAAAAGCTCACTAGGACTCTGAGAGCGCAATATAAAAAAAGCTCACACCAGGGGTCCTCCCTCCCGGGACCCGCAGGTGCTACGAAAACCCCCGCCTATGCTTTTGGCGGGCAGGGATTTTACTACCACTTTTTTTTTGGTGGAAATTTGGGTCAGAGACCAGAGGGATGATTCGAACCCAGGCCGTTCATCTGGACTGTTAGTAGGTGTAAGAGACTTAGGCTACTTAACCACTGCACCATCGCAGCCCTGGTTTGTTGACAGG